GTAATTTTTTACTGGAGTGGATATCTGCCACACTAAGTGATGTGCATTTTCTACCCTCAGATGTTTAGAATACTGAAGCCTGGGTGACTCTCCCTGCATCATGGCATCACAGATCTGACCATAATTTCTGCCTTAACACTTATGACTTGCTATGAAAGATTACAAATAGCCAAAGATCTTAGACTACAAAGAGATACTCGACTGCTTTCTGAAACACTTAGGTTCTGTGACGTACAGTAACTTCCTAGAACTAAAGGAGAAGTTGAGATGTGTTATTAACCTATAATACGTATAATCTGTATCTCCAAAATTTCTTCAGGAACAGCTGTCTGCCATGCTTCTGCATGGAATAGGCTCTTAAACACCTCTAATTATTGATACTTCAGTGCCTTCCACATAACCAGCACCACAGGAAACATCAGCTGTTTGAGGGAAGATTATCATACTGTTATTATGTCCTTTCTTCTCAAAATCTACATTGATCTGACACTGCCAGTTGTGGTCAATGGTCAGAATACGGACAATCTTCAGATACAGGATAATACGTACAACTCAGGAACTGCTGGTAGTAAGTTAAAATATTTTTACTGTAATTCTAAGTATACTACATTTAAGGGATATCAAGTATATATATGTGCTATCTAAAAAAAATAATAATTGTTAGTCTTTTTAAGTACCTCCCTGATTACACTTGCAAAATAGAAGTATAAGCAGATCTCCACTGCTGTAGATGACTATTTATGAAAGCCCCCTCTATAACAAGACAAAGTATCTCTCTTCATTGAAAATGCTGCTCCAGCTCACTTAACAGCTACAGAATCTTCTTCTACCTTTATGCAATCCCATGGACTTCTGTGATAAAGGGAATATATTCCCCAAAACACAATTTATTTTCCTTTCTTCAGAATCATGTGATTAAAAAAACCTTCCACATTTGTTTGCTTCTACTACTGTCATATACAAACTACCTTCAAATAGTTATCTTTAATTCAGATGCTGGGCAGGATTTATTTGACTAATGATATTCAACCAAAATATGGCTTATTCTCTTGCTTGTGCAATTAATGCATACTTTATACTGTTACTACTTTTAGCTTTTATCTCACGTTTTATAGCTGATAAGTTGTGACAGAGCTTTCATGATATCCTATTTTATTTCTTGATGCCAGACTTCATATTCTGGTTGCTGTTACCTAACTGTATTTTCAATAGCCATATAGAATGTATGGAAGGAAATACACACGAAACAAGCATTCAGTACCATAAACGTGAACATTCTAGCTAAACTAGTCTGTCTGCACAATTCCTTTTAAAACAAACAAAAATACAGAGTATGACTGCATTCCCTACCACCTCTGGAGAAAGAAAAGTCAAAGGCTCTGCAGCAGTCTTGAAGCCAAGTACCAGGACTGTTATGGAACCTGGAGCACAAAGCAAGCAAGAACAGAAAAAATAGTAGCAAGACCTGTTTCTCACAAAAAGAACCAAGATTTTGTTCCCTTAAGCCTTTAGAGGTACAGAGCAACAGCAGGTTAAAACAATATGTCCTGTTACTTCAGAGAAAAGGTAGCTGGGATATATGAAAACCAGCATAGGTAACATTAAGGACAGATGGACTATTTATTACTGGATTAAAAAATACACTTGATTAAAACCTACAGTTTAAAAGGTTAAGAGATATTTGACTGAATTACATTAGTGCCAGCTGTCCAGATCCAATGCAGACCTTCTGAAGTCATATTAAGGAAAGAAACTATCACCAAGACAAACACCTTTTCTTACCCCAAAGTTCAAATCTTACACTTTTAATAATCAATTTAAACCCAAACTTATTTATTCATTAGTTACTAATGTTCTTAAACAAGATGTTCTACATACCTTCAAAGCTCTCTTTTGAGGAACAAAACTCTCTGCCCCCACCATTTCTACCTTGGCTCTCAAGGAACTTCTTCCCATGCAAACTCTCTCACTTTGAAGGAAGAGTCCTCACAGATTTTGCAGTCCGCTCCAGATTTAAGCAGTTTCTACAACTCAAGTGACTACATTAGTCTCCATGCTTCGGCAATAAAGGAAGGACTAATAAACCTAATTTATACTCCTTTAAGTACTACTACTAGTAGTACTGCAGGGAGAAAACCAGGGAGAAGACTTTTTTTTAATATTGCTTTCCAGCAACTTATTTTTGCTGTTACTCATATTCACCTAATTTCCATAAATTAGCTACTGAAACTAAAGAGCTTAACCTAGGATGTAAAAGTTCATGGGAATTTAGTGAAGCCAAATGTGATTAGGTGACTAGTCAACAGCAAGAAATCAACAAAATGTCAATGTTCTTAGAAAAGGTTGCCTTAATTGATTACTTTTGCATATTATTTAGTACATTTTACTTATTGCTTATTACAACATTGGTTTTTATGCCTGTCATTCTAGACTCACATGTAAGCAGGAAGCAAAAATGTTTCACTCAGTCTTCAACCAAGATTTGTAGGACAAGCTGTATTTCCCAACTTACAACACATCAACTTCAGTGGAATACTTTGTTATTTTTTAAGTACTCTTGCATCCCTTTCCCAAAGACATCAGTCATTTCTTGAAAAATGTATTTAAACTTTAAGTCAGAAGTGCATTATTATAGACAGACTGCAGAGTAAAACTGCAAAGCAGGAAGACAGAGTTGACATAGGTAAAATGAACAGCGCAAAGGATATTTTACTTTTGTCCCAAATAGACCTATCTATGAAATGAAAGGAAGAGATGCCTCCCCCTCCTTTTTTTTTTGATCCCTCCTACTTAGAGATAAGACAATTTGATTAAGTGTGCTTAAAAAGGGACAGAAATATTATCAGGGCATTATTCAGGAGCCTTCATGATGCTATCAAATAAAGCTTCAATATAAATACACTGTAAAAAAAAGCTTTGAATTAAGAATGTGATCATTGATAAGCAGAGCAAACAGAAACAGCTATACAATTTCTGAGAACCACTGTTAGACCAGTGATGCTAGAAAGTGACATCAGTGAGAAAATTTCAGCTGACAAAAATTTTTTCTTTAAATAACTATCAATTTATAATTAACATTCCAGTATTTAATACTATAATTTTATTTACCTAAAATAATGATGGAAACTTAAACTGTTCAGCTGTATTTTTAATATTACACATAATGCTACTGTAATCTGCTGAAAAACTTTTTTTATTAAACTTCATTTGAAATCAGGATTCTCTTTAAAACACAATTAGTTGCTTTGACAGCAAATATCCTAACTTGAACTGATGGCAAATGAGTGAAAAATGACCAGCAAGGAATGATGGCCAGAAGCACAACGATGATGTTTTTCACAGAACACCTTCTAAAATAAAAATAAAATAATGAAGAAAGGAAAATAGTAGCAGTAACATTTTAAGTAGATCATATTCCAAAGTTGTCTATGAAGATCTGGCAGCTCTTTTAAGCAGAGCACAAAAAATTCACAGCTCCACATTTAAGAATAGGCAGCTATCTAGGGATTATTTCCAGATTAGTGGCTATACGTAAAAGAAAGAACAGGAAGCAAAGGCAGAGGCAGCCTTCTCCATAATTATTGATGTTTTTCTTCCTACTTAGATCTCCAGGAGGATTGACACTACTGTTGCTTCTGAGTGAAAAATAGATACCTTAGAAAAACTGATTGACAAGTTAATCAAGAGAAGTTCATTTGTAATACTTGCAGTCACACAAACTCTAAACAATGAGATGTAAGTTTCATGAACAAGACAAATGAACTCCCACAAACTAGTTTTGAACTTAGGTGATCAACAGACATTTACTCAAAGTAGTCTCTTCAAAGTTTTTCTTCATTTATATTTAGCTTTATAATGTTGTCATTGCCATTAAGTACCTTTCTACAGTATTCTTGAGTATTTTTGACCAACTTTTCTGTTAATAAGGGACATTCTAATGCAAATGTGTTAGAATTGAAAAGGCCTCACTTTTACTGGTTGGCCTGGTTTGATCTTCCCAGAGTAAAAATTCTTTGGCATCCCTGCTAATGGCTTAATTAAATACAGTACATCAACAACACTGGAAGAAACTCCTCTAGCCACCGCGGATGTTCAACACCCCAGAACAACATAGTTTTATGTCTACAACTTCTGTAGTGCTTGCTAACATGTCTGTAAAGACTAAACTGCACGTTTACCAATTACTTATTCTATGCTTGTGGTTTATCTTAAGAATCAGTCTAGGAAACTGCCAATGTTTATTACAAGGCAAACAATAAAGTGTCCAGATAACTAGAGTAGATTAAAACCACTATGTAATACGAACAAAAATCTGGAAGCTGTACCTGAATCTATTCCAGATTTGTATGTATTCCAAAAGTAACTAAACAAGATGCACGACCAACAAAAAGCATAAAATGTATCTGTTGCTGCAAATGAGTACCCACAGTAAACTCTAGTTTTATGTTTCAGACATTAAGCACAGACAATTTAATTCCTTGTAGCAACTGCATGTGTTCCCTCCCTACCCCCCCCCCCCCCCAACAAAACACCCCAAAAAAAACCAAAAAACCAACCAACCCATCTGCAAACTGATTTATGTTTGACTTACTATGCTACAGAGATTCTGGCATGTACTGTGGCAACTGGATTTTTCTTAACTGGATCCAGGACAAACTTAAGTTTTTTCAAGCCTCAAACTGGGCAAACGTGGCACAGAATTTGATTTCAAACACTCAATCTTTAATCTCACCATTTCTCTCACAGGAAAATCCCACAGAGGGTGCTGTGCTGCTTAATTCCCAACTCTCTCAGAGTTGGCCAATGTAGAAACTACCCCAAAAAACAAAACACAAATGTAATTTATTAGACCTCCATTTGAGCCTCCTCCTCCTCCCCCAGTGACTTTGATCATTCACGGTGGCCATTAACAGAAAAACAAGTTTGTTAGAGCTTTTTAACATGAAAAATGAGGATAAAAAAAAGAGTAAAAACAACATTTCCCAAACATTTCTCTTTACCTTGGCACTACAGACTGCTACATTAGCAGGGAGCTGGGAAAACTGCTTCAACTTAAATACATCTCGTACTGCCCACCGGCTCAAGCGATTCTCAGCCTTGCTGGATCCAACCACGTTCTGATTTGAATGAATATATGCCACTTCTTGAACGCCATCTGATATATTAGGAGAAAGATACAATCAAAGATGTTGATTATTACAAAACCCTGAAGGTACACAGTTGCACTGAAAAAGGATATTCTAATTTTAAAAAGTTTTACATGAAAGTTGTAAGATTTGTTATGATTTCACTCAGCATCAGGTTTCTCAGCTCTATGAAATTAACAATTATACTTATTTAGATTTATCCAGTTTAATACTGCTTCCATTTCAGTGTGCTTTTTTCAGATGGACAAAGAAGTTTGAAAGCATCTACAATTTAATGGCTGCAGTATTGTTTAAAGTCTCTAATAGAATCAAATCCTCTCCATGGTATTTCAAACTCCCAGGTCATGTAGTTTTGGGCTTTTTTTTTCATAGAATCATAGAATGGTTTGAGTTGGAAGGGACCTTAAAGACCATCTTGGCCAACCCCCCTGCCATGGGCAGGGACACCTTCCACTAGACCAGGGTGCTCAAAGCCCCATCCAACCTGGCCTTGAACACTTCCAGGGATGGGGCATCCACAGCCTCTCTAGGCAACCTGTGCCAGTGTCTTACCACTCTCATAGTGAAGAATTTCTTCCTTACATCTAATACAAATCTACCCTCTTTTCTGTTTAAAGCCATTAGCCCTTGTCCTATTACTACATGCCCTTGCAAAAAATCCCTCTCTGGCTTTCTTGCAGGCCCCGTTTAGGTACTGGAAGGCTGCTATAAGGTCTCCCTGGAGCCTTCTCTTTTCCAGGCTGAACCACCCCAGCCCTCTAAGCCTGCCTTCACAGAAGAGGTTTCCCACCCTTCTGATCATCTTCATGGCCCTCCTCTGGACTTGTTCCAACAGGTCCATGTCCTTCTTATGTTTGGGGCCCCAGACATGAACACAGTACTCCAGGTGGGGTCTCACCACACCACAGTAGAAGGGGAGAATCACCTCCCTCAACTTGCTGGTTATGCTTCTTTTGATGCAGCCCGGGCTGCAACCGGCTTTCTGGGCTGCAACCGGCTTTCTGGGCTGCAACCGGCTTTCTGGGCTGCAACCGGCTTTCTGGGCTGCAAACACACATTGCCGGGTCATGCTGAGCTTCTTGTCAACCAACATCCCCAAGTCCTTCTTCACAGGGCTGCTCTCAATCCACTTATCACTCAGCCTGTATTTATATACTTGGGATTGCCCCAACCCACGTGCAGAACCTTGCTCTTGGCCTTGTTGAACTTCATGACGTTCGCATGGGCCCACCTCTCAAGCCTGTCAAGGTCCCTCTGGATGGCATCCCTTCCCTCCAGCACGTCAACCGCACCACACACCTTGGTGTGGTTGGCAAACTTGCTGAGGACGCACACAACCCCACTGTCCATGTCGCTGACAAAGATTGTTTAACGAGCCGGTCCCAATACCGACCCCTGAGGAACGCCACTCATCACTGGTCTCCACTGGGACAAGCAGCCATTGACCACAACTCTGAGTGTGACCATCCAGCCAATTCCTTATTCACCAAGTGGTCCATCCATCAAAGCCACGTCTCACCAATTTAGAGACAAGGATGTCGTGCAGGACAGTGGCAAAGGCTCTGCACAAGTCCAGGCAGATGACATTAGTTGCTCTTCCTTTATCCACCAACACTGTAAGCCCGTCATAGAAGGCCACCAAATTTGTCAGGCACGATTTGCCTTTAGTGAAGCCATGCTGGCTGTCACCAATCACCTCCTTGGTTTCCATGTCCCTTAGCATAGTTTCCAGAAGGATCCACTCCATGATCTTGCGTGGCACAGAGGTGAGGACTGGCCTGCAGTCCCCCAGGTCTTCCTTTTTTCCCCCTTTTTAAAAATGGGCGTTATGTTTCCTCTTTTCCAGTTGGTGGAGCTTCTGCAGACTGCCAGAACTTCTCAGATATGAAAGAGAGTGGCTTAGCCACTTCATCTGCCAGCTCCCTCAGGACCCAGGGATGCATTTCATCAGGTCCCATGGACCTGTGCACTTTCGGGTTCCTTAGATGGTTTCGAACCTCACCTTCTCCTAGGGTGGGTAGTTCTTCATTCTCCCAGTCCCTGCCTTTGCCTTCTGTGACTTGTTTGGTGCGGCTGGAGCACTTGCTGGTCAAGACCGAGGCAAAAAAGTCATTGACTACCTCAGCCTTCTCCATGTCCCAGGTAACCAGGTCTCCCATTTCCTTCCTGAGAGGGCCCACATTTTCCCTAGTCTTCCTTTTATCACCAATGTACCTATAGAAACTTTTCTTGTTGCCCTTGATGTCTCTGGCCAGATTTAATTTTATCAGGGCTTTAGCTTTCCTAACTTGATCCCTGGCTGCTTGGACTATTTCTCTATATTCCTCCCGCACCACCTGTCCTTGCTTCCACTCTCTGTAGGCTTCCTTTTTGTATTTGAGTTTAACCAGAAGCTCCTTGTTCATCTATGCAGCCCTTCTGATGTTTTTGCCTGACTTCCTCTTTGTTAGGATGCATCACTCCTGAGCTTGGAGGAGGTTATCCTTGAATATTAACGAGCTTTCTTGGGTCCCACTTCCCTCTAGGGCTTTATCTCATGGTACTCCACCAAGTAGATGTGCACAAGTCTTTATTTAACAGCCCTGTCAAGACTTTCAGGGTTTTACAGGTCAAATATTTAGATTTGTGAATTCTTAATAAATCTTCAATCTTAGCATCTTTCAACAGACAGTAAGTGTTTAACAAAATACTTCAAAGCAGCCCATCAACCCAGGAGACAGGAAAGTAACACTAATAGGTAAAAAGAGAGATAGAGAAAGACATTACTAAATAATTTAGCAAAGCATTTATTAGTATCTTGTAACAAAAACACGTATAGCAGGAAGAATTTAAAACCTGCCAACAATGATAAATTAAACATAAGTTACTGCCTTAGTTGAAATAAAATCAAAGAAATTAAATTACCATAGTTACCTAAATATCTGTCCATTGATTCCACTTCACGTTCAAATTCAGGTTTACTTGCAGAAGTTCTTTGCACAGCATACTTGCTAGACTTTATTTGTGCAACAGAGGTATCTTGAATAGAATGAAGCATTTTAGACCCAAACTGACCTCTGCCTTTCTGGCTTTTACACTTACAGCTTTGCTTTCTGGCATGAACTTTCTCAACTGGTAAGTTATCTTCAGATGATGAAAATTCATCTATATTCTGAGATTCACTTTCCCTTCCTTTTCTATTGTGCTTCTTTGCTTCTAGCAGAGATTTGGAGATGTCACCTAGTCCGTTGCTACGGGCATGTCTTTTTTTCCATTTTGGAATGCCTAAAGTTCTTAACTTTCTTGATTCAGAATTATGGCAAATTTCAATATCATCAGACTCATCACTTATGTCACTTTCATATTTCAAATCTCTTGTGCTGTTCTTGATGTCTTCAGAAGACATGACTTTGCTGAAATTTGACTCAGTACTATGGCATCCAAATTGCCTACTGTCTCCCTTAAATACAAACCCATCTTTTTCCTTTGCTAACTCTTCACAATTTTCAGATGTTGATCTGTATATTTCAACCTTTTTAGTAAGCACTAGTTGCTGGCATGCTGGAACTTGGGTAGGAAAGATGACATCATCATCCTCTTCAGAACTGTCTTCAGTTTCCATGATTACATCACTTTGCTTTGAAATGCCTTGATCCTCACTTTCTCTGTCCCCTTCCTCCTCAGAGCCTGATAAAGCAAGCCAGTCTGTACTACACGTATCTTGTTTATCAATTCCATCTGGTGACTGAGCAGCTTTCCCATGCTCCAAAACAGGCACATGGTTTTGACATTTGTGAAAATCACTGCGCTTGCTATTTACATTTGTTCTTATAGACTGATCATCAGAACCTGAATGATGAGAAGTATAATCATTATCCCCTTTGGTAGTTTCAATTTCTCTCTGCAACAACTTAGAGAATCCACACTGCATTAAGGAAAGCTGTCCCTTTGTTACCATTAAATTATTTGCATTGCAAGGCTTCCTTCTGTCACATTTTTTCACGGAAGTTTCCAGAATATCATCATCACTAAAGTCATCACAAAAATCCATTTCTTCTCTCTTTAATTGTGCCTGAATGCTTTGGGGATCTCTATCTTCTTTAGAGTCTGGTTGTTCATACTAAGAAGAAAAATAATTGACAGCAAAGGTATTTAAGACATAAGTAGTATATGGAACACACCTAATTCCAAAGCAGTGTAAAAAAAAAAAGTGGATTTCTACTATGTTAATCAAAAAAATATACAAAATAGTATCATAATATACAAATAGAAAGCAAATGCAAAACAAATCGTAAAAAGAAATTATATGAAAGTCTTCAGGAGAACAAAATTTTTAGCAGAACAACAATTAAAATAACGAAAAACATTATGTATTTGAGAATATATGCTGCACGCTGCTAAAACAACCTATGTCTTCACAATCCACACCCGTATTTTTCTAGCTTATACTAATCTTGTTGCAACTTTTCATCCTTTAAAGGTAGTTTGAAAAGTGACTTCATGATTCAAACCTTAATACTGTGTAATGACATTCATAAAAAAAAATATTCTCACAGCAGTGGTCAACCTCCTTGTATATGGGGGCTAACACAGTTTAAAAGAGCCATGAGTACATAATATTCTGGACTAAAATTAGTTGAGGTCTACTGTAATCAAACAAAAATTACCCCCAGGCAACCTTAAAACATTTTGAAGATACAGAAGTCCAGAATACAGCTCCAAAACTGCCTACTACTAAGCCAAAATTATGACAATATGTAAGTGGAAAGTCAGAAGGGTGAATACTAAACTTTTGTACATGAAGTTTTAAAATTAATATATTAATCCTGATATCACCCTGCTTAACAAAAAGCATTTAACATAAGCTAAAAAAGTGACTGTTTGTCACCAAGTCCAATGTGAGATCATGACCATACAGTGACATATTAGCAATGTGATGTTATGACCAATGCGATGGCACACTGATTTAAATTAATACTGACATCTACCCACAGAAATCTCCAAAAAACATAATAGACAGTGGCTAATTTTTAGTACCATTCAGTGTGATTTAAGCTAACAATATTTTCATGTTAGAAGCCATATTGTAGACCTAACTGTTCGTTTCCCAAATCACTTGAACACAGTGTTTGGTCAAAAACATTCATAAAAATGCTCCCATAAACCCCAACCTTTTCAGGAAAAAAAAAAAAAAAAAATCAACATCAACCTTGTTCCACAAGGAAACTATTAGATATATTATTTTAAAAAAAAAAAAAAGCCAGCATGAACAGACCACTAATTTGGTGGGAATGACTGTACATGAGTACATTAACTAAATAGCCCGTGTCTTCCAGAGGGGTCCACAAAACCTGAAGCAAGCTTTCAATCCTCTAAACAAATTGTACTCCTTTCCACAATTCCCTAACCAAAATCTTCTAAACATCAGTAGGTGTCAGATTCTCAACCGACTTCTTGACGGGAAAGCTGTCATATCGTATCATGTCATATCACATCATGAAGCTGTCACTCAAGACACTACAGAGCAATGATTCAGTAAACAATATTGCTCTGTAATAACTGCATGTTAGTAATACCTTCATTCAGACTGAGGATATTCAAGTGTTGTAAACATCACAGAATACCATATAACCAGATGTTCACAATATTCCATTTTAAATACAGAAATACAGACAGCATGACATTATCCAATGCTTTACAATATGTAAAACCAGGGGCAAGCAGACAACAAAAGATGGCAAGTGCAATATAGGGCAAAAGTATTATCAGCCTAATAACATACTGTCCACATTTGCCACTCTAGTATCAGGAACTAGAGGGACTGGCACGCTTTGGTGCATAGTCCAAAAAGACATCTCACCTTTTCTGAGCTGCATGGAGGAGTCTCTTCCTTTAGCCATGTAGTTGCTGTCATGACTCCTGCTTCTACTCGCCCTTCCCTCTAAAACAATCAAGAATGTATGTAATAAAAACTGTATCTGTTCAAGTTAATAAAGGCAAGCCCAGAAAAAAAATAGTTTTTCTTTCTTTCTACAAAAGGTGGAAGCACTGGACATATAATCAGCAAGTCCAGACTAAGACTTACATTTTGGTAATACACTTACTGCTCTTTGATCTAACACGTAACCTGCAGGAAAAGTAACACACTGCATAAATTGGGAGGATCTTATACATACACTGTCTTAATAATTTTAAACTTTTCCAAAGCAGAATACCTGCTACAATATTCATATCACATATCATGTTTTAATTTAATTTAGAGAAGATTTGAGCTTAATATCCCCAAAGTACATGTTCTTACACCACATTACTCTTTTGGGTATGCTACCTTTATATGGCTGTATCACACTCCTCAGCCTCTTCCTAGCATAGGCAAAATAACAAAATGAAGGGAAGGATGGAAAGAAACCTAGAATAAAGCTGCAATAAATTGCAAGATGCAAGTTAGCTGCAGCAAACATGCTGGATAAAAAAAGGTATAATACTGCATATACTTAAAATTCATTTGCACTATATGCTAAGGAATTGGGCCAACAGTCTTTTTGGAGTAACTAAGAAATGAATCTCAAAATATCAAGCCTCAGTTATTTACTCCCACCCTGTAACATTTTTAAATACAGCATTATAAAATATATTTTATTAAACAGGTTTTGACATCTCAAAATGTACTATAAAAAAGTTGCCGTGATCACAAAAAATATTTTTATGATCAGAATTCTGTCTTAAAAGGTCACTCTGAGCTACTGATGAATAAAAGGTATCTGTGCACAAAGCTGACAATATGTGAAAGTATCATAAAAATAACTTAACAGCATTTTTATTAGGAAAAGAAATATATTAGCAAACTTTTGATTTTCAGGTTTTTGTTTGATTTAAGGAAATTTATCTGGTCTACATCAGAGTGAGAAATTAGCATGCCTATTTCATTTAAGGCACTGCATAGACAGGTACTGCTTAAGTTTCACCATTCTTTTTTATAAAGTGTTCCCATACAAAATTATGACAAAGTATCTCATGAGGAAAGGAAAAATGTAAAGCTAATAGCCAAAAGCAAAAGGGTAGGACTTCACACCTCCAGGATGTCCTTGGTAAGACAGGACCCATGAGTCCTGAGTTTGAAAAGGTTATGGATCCCAAAAAGCTCTCCTTGATGTTCCTTTGATCCTTGCACTGCCTCGAAATACCGCTTAGCATTTTCACTTCCAACCACCACACAGTGAAGTTGCTAAAACAGAACAACACAAAAGATTTCAAAAGTGTTTGCTCCAACAACATGTCAGAATTTCCTGGCATGCACATTGTATACACAGCTTTCGTTGGAGCAGGCAGAAATTCCTAAGGGAGGATATTTTGTTTTCATTTCCCTGGCAGATGTTGGTATAATAGATTGTGGTATAATAGGAACCTGTTTGAGTTTACTGAATAAAAAAATAAAAATATTTCAAGTCTTTTACTACACTGTTGTCCAATATCAGACACCTACTATACACACTACTGCCACTCCTCGATATCTTGACTGCTCATCTTTCCTCGAGACTAAATTCTTAGTATTTTTTCATAGTCCTATGCATTGTATGCTTACTTGGTAAAGACTAAATAAAGCCACCTGATTACTCCTACTGCTCTCTGAATTCAATTTTAATTATCATGCACTCTTGCTAAGTTGACTGAACAGAAGTGACTTCAAAATCTTCCAGGTAAAAAGGAAAGACAAGTAAATAGTTTGTCAGGGAGAATTAAAACATTTTTGAAGTCAGACAGGTTTAGCTGCATTCCAATGACTGCAAATTTTCAACACTTACATAATTGGTCTATTTGACTTTAAGTGGAAGAAAGTAAAATCCATGGTTTTAAGGATACCAGACCTGTAATATTTTTTGTAACTGTCTCTAAGCAGTTGGTAGTTCTTCAGTTTTACTCACTTCTAGTTCTAGCACTGAACAGGTATTTTCCTAGACAGCACATCTCTTGAATTATGTAGGCCAGTAACTATACAGTCAAGTTCTAGTTTAATTTTAGCTAAGCATAGTTTATGTCTTTCTTGAATTATGCATGGTATTTACAAAAGTATACTTTAGGATACATATATAACTTATTTGGTTTTCTATTATGTTAGAGTTCAGTTTTATTTACATCAGATTCTTCAATCACATATGACTGGGTCAGACAATCAAACACCACTAACAGAAAAAATTCAGCAATTTTAAAATCAAATAGATCTCTCAGTAAGAATACACTACAAACATGACAAAGCATTTTCACATAAATTCATTTCATGAAAAGGATTGATGACAACATTTAGCTCTCTGAGAGCACATTTGTATAGTTCACCAAAAGCCACACGTCCACATGCACTCATGGTGTCTGAATTTTCAAGAGCAGAAAAATGCATTTTCTTCAAAACTTACTGAAAGTTTCCTAACTGTGCTCAAGTGTCAATAGCAGGAAATGCAATCCAACTGTAAACTAAAAAAAATAATATCCCAGATTTACAATTACTCTGTTTACTGCTTCATAATCAACCTGAAAAAAAACCACAAGAGCCTTTCAAGAAGTTTTATATGTGCCTTTTGGAAATCCAAACAGACAATATCCAGGTGGTCTTTATCTACAAGATCACCAATTCCAAAGACATCCATGAAGCATGACTCCACTTCTTCAGGATTTTAGTGAATATAGTCAGCCGTACTCTGCTATTGCTCATTTTGTTAGCCTTTCTGAGACCTCTCCTACTGACACTTGCTGTTGAAATGAATCCTCAAAAGTACTTTGCACAAGAAAAATTTTGGAACAGGATGCTCTGTAAGCTTTTCTGTGAATGTGGCTATAAAAAATAAATCAAGCAGGTTTTTTGGAATGAACTCCTTTAAACCTTGCTAAAGCCATGCCAATACAGCAGTACAATTCCTGCTCCTGATGTGTTCGAAAACTAAATTATTAGCTTTTATGTTTTTAGACCACTGTCCCTCAAGAATAGTTTTTGGACTTACTGGGTTTTATATTTAACTTGCCTCATTAATATATGATTTCAACTATTAATACAATGTCTTCTTCATTCTGAGCTTCTGACACTGTCTCTGAAAATTGCCCAAATACCTGTGAGTGCTTCAGCCCATCACCTACTTCTTTTAATTTCTTCTTAACAAGTTTCCACCTTTTTATTTAGATAATTTTGTAAGAATTAAACAGGACTCTAATAGCTTTTTGGCTTCTACAAAACACTGAATTTAAATCAGATAAGAGTCACTGTTACACTTTTGAAAGTAGCATTTTAAAGCAGGCCACACACGTTACTGAGAGCAGCTCAAGATTTGATCTTCCAGCTGTAGGTTCTCTGACTATCTGCTCTGTGAAATCAGATGATCTTAGAACCTTATTCTGATTTGTCACTTACTTAAATCTTAGGAGGATAATGACAATCTGTATACTACTGCATTTCCCACTCAATCAGCCTCCAACCTGCTCCTTGTAAATAACCCAGCTACAAGAGCCGCTTGTCACTGAAGACTCATTACCAAATTTTTCCTATTTATGGCCAAAAATTCAAATTATTAGGTTAATTCATCAAATTTCATAAAGCTTTCTTTAATATATAGTATCATTTGCCCACTGAGGTGACCTACTTTGTCTTTTCTATGCAATGCATTCTTCAGGACAACTGTATCTCCATGATTTTCTTCCTTTCTCCAAGTTTCTATGCCTATAATGTCAGTATCTCAACTCAAAATCAATCACTTTATTTCTTTAACTTGCAACTTTTGTTGAGAAAAACATGTTCATATTTCATCTAGTTTCTTATTATTCTGCAGCCAGCTCTTTGTTGTTCATGTTCAAGTTTGCCTATTTTTTGTTTTAATTCTGATCTCACCAGGAAACAGTTGCTAGATTATGGGTTCCTCAAACCACACACATTGCTCTTCCCAATCTTAGGTGTTTAAACCTATCAATGCAAATAGAAAAATTTGGAGAGAGCAAGTGTTTCAGGTTGAGTATTCTGGCAAGCAACATCACTTATCATCTTTGTAATAGCAGCAACTACAAGCTGTTTCCCCCTCCTTTTATAAGCAAGTTTTCACAATCAGGAGAGTAACAATGCCTTCTTGCTTGTCTTCTATAGCACCAGCAAGATTTTTGCTCTACTTACTCCAACCTTTCATAAGAAAAAGCTGCCTGAATCAGACTGCTGCAGGTACTAACTACAACTCTCGCAGATATATTTTACAAGTCTTTAAATAAAACACTTCTCTGTATAACCCGATTAATGTTAATTGCATAATTAAATTGTCAAAAGTTACAGAAAAACTTGAATACAAATATAATTCTTTTTTGTTCTTTGATTATCACTAAATGATATATCTCTGCTTAATAAGTTAAGATAACAGCATGTACCAAGGTAAACTACAATTTTGCTATAGGCTAGCTTAGCTTTCAGTCACTGAAGCCGCTAAAAACCATCTCCCAATTTAAATAGTTTGTGAACTTTACCTGTTTATAAACTTGTCGCAAGTACATCATCTCCTCCACAGTTCCCAAGGATATCAATCTAAACACTTTAACAGCTTTGTATTGGCCAATCCTATAAGCTCTGCAAGGACAGTGGCATATTAAAAACCATTTTTAATCAATAAAAAAAGTAAGAGACAGCTCTCAGGGGTAGTAAAATAAATGAATAAAAGCATTCCAATAAAACAGGAGTATTCTAAATAATTTATAAGTTGGTTGTTTGATATTTTTTTTTTATTTTACTTTTCCAAGTTTTCCTCAGTATTTTATTCCCTTTTCCTTTACCCTTAGTTTTCCATGCTTCTTCCCAGGCCTATCCAGCTGAAAAAGCTTCGTCCTCAGTTTGTATCACAAGGCCTGTCCCCCACCTCTCTTGAAAACACATCTGCCACAGTTTTATCTTTTTTTTTTTTTCCCTCTCTGTCTCCATCTGCTCTTGCACAAGATATCCTCCTATTTGCATTATATAGGAGTTAGATCATGGATTACTTGGGGCAGCCTGTTCTTTCTTATCTTTATAAAGCACTTTGCAAGTAACAACATCATAAAAACAGCTAATGAACTGGCAGCGTTCTATCTAAATGGTAAATTCTGAGACTTCTAATAAACTATATTCCAAAAATTCAAGAGAGACTGAACCAATTTATAGAAATGTGATCTTACAAAGATTCTTTGAAGACAGTCCCTTTCAACAATACACATTTCAAACACATATTTCTCTAGAACAGGTGCACATAAACACCTCTCAGAAGTCAGAAAGACCCTTAAAATGAAATTACATAACTGGATGGGACAACAGAAACAAGTTTATTTCTGCTTGTGAAAATGTACAAATCTACTGGATTTTGAAGGTTTCCAATATTCTTCAGCTATTCAAAAGTCTGTCCTGAATTCCTAGGAAAACATCCTATGGTCAAAAAGCCTTGAAAGAAAAACCCAGATTCCTGGAAATATTCCAATGGCACTTCCATCAGAGATAGAAGTGAGTGCTGAAAAGACACTAATCTCCACACGGGTGAAACAGAAAAGAACATAAATGTTTTTCTTCAAGGATTCTGGAATTCAAAATATCACTTGAACTAGGGTCAACTACAACCTACTCTGTCCTAGCAAACAAAGCAAAAATGCCATCCAGCTACACACACACACACACACACATTCTCAAGATCACAAAAAGTTACAGTAACTATGGCTTTCTTTCCTTAATGACCCCACCGTCACAGTGCCACAAAAATAAAATGGAAAACAAGAAGTAAAATTCAGGGTTAAAAGTAAGAACAAAGCTAAAAATAATATAGCTGCACATTTCTTACTGGTTTGTGGACAAGTCAGACTATGTAAAAAATTTCTTCCCTGAGGAAAATTTTAGTTGGACAATCAGATTACAGAATCAAAGCAAAAGAAGAGTACAACACAGATCAAGTTCTATACTTTGAGAGTGTACCTGTCAATAGCTTGAAGATCATTTGCTGGGTTCCATGTAGGATCGAACAGTATAACAACATTGGCACCAACAAAATTAAGACCCAGTCCACCAGCCCTAAAAAGCAAAAATTAAAAAATAGAACTATTTGACAGTGAGAAAACCTTTTTTTTTTCCCAGTGTATTAGGTCCATATTGGTATATCCTTCCACAACATAAAAAAAAAAAGAGCACAATAGAGATACTAACAATAGTGGGGTACAGCTTTGTGTTACTGTTGCGTTAATAATCACCAAGTACTCAAATAACCACTGGTGTAAAATGCAGTCTTCTCACCTAAGTAGCAAGAAGATTACAAACTGTATGACTAGCTGAGTCATAACCAACTGATATCACCTTGATATAGTAGAAGACATGACTGCTATTTCATACCCTCTGAGCCCTAAAGAGACCAACTCCCCCAACAATCATACTGAAATACATAACCACTTTTATGCCAGCTAACATTACAGAAGCAGGAAAACTATAGCTTAAATAAAGAGTCTGCATTAGATTTTACTTCCTCTAATCCCCGTACATAGTTTTGACAATAATGCTATGCAGCTTCCACTAAAATGGTCACAGTCTAGGGTAAGTCATATCTGTAAGAATTAACAACTGTCACAAGTACATTTGTACAGTATGTCAGTCAACCGTTAAAAATGAAGTTGGCCACACAGCTGCCTATGAGCAACAATCATACCAGTTATTCCAAGGAAAAAAGTCACTGTAAGAAAATTGTCTACTGTGGGGGTTAGGAGTCACAGGAGTACCAGTTACATCATCTTATAACATTCAACAGCTGTAGTCTGCTTTCAGGTAAAGCCTGCAAGCCAGTAAAGAATTTGAGCGTATGCATAACCTGATGTACCTAACTAATGCCCTGCTGAATCCAACAAAACTGCTCAGTTACTTGGAGTTTGGCATGTGCATAGCTGAATGATTTGATAGGAACAAAAGTGAGGAATATACCACTTCTCATCCAGCTGCAAAACAAGCAAATACTGAAAACTCTTTTCAATTGGCTCAACCAGCATTCCTACAAAAAGAGGCACGTTCCTAAATAAGTACACGCTAAATACTATTATTAATTTAACTATTAAAACAATTCTTCACATTAACATAGACAGCACTAATTTCAAGTGTGGTTTTTTCCAGAATGAGGTACCACAAAAACAAAAGTCAATCCCATTTAATTTACCAAGCAGCTAGTTTTAACAGATTACATTATATTCTACTTGTTTAAAGCAGTGGGAAAGGTAAAGTTTCCACGTATAAGAATGAAGACAGAAACCAAAAGCTTATGGAGCCCCACCGCTTTTTGGTCTTCATGGAATCCTTGTCAATGTAAATACAGTTGTGGCCTCTTCCTTCCAGGTGTGGTGTGGTGTGCGTTAGTTAAATCTGGAAAGGGAGAGGATGTGGGAACCTGCCAATATTAACGGAGGTTTCCGGAGGATGAGCGTTCTCAAAGTTTGAAATGCTGAATAAAAATCTTTGTATTTTTCAGAATACCTTACTGTATTTCGGAATTTTGGTGTATTTCTTTTTAGTGAGGACAGAATTCAGCCTCTCATCTTACCAAACCAACCCTGCAGTCAGACTGAAACGTTAAGTCAACATGTTTTTCCAAATACTTTCTCATAAAATTTGCAATATTTGGAACTGAAATATGAATTAAACCTCAGTGCAAAGCCTTAGTGCAAGTAAAACAGACTGACCATAAAGATTAACTAAACAGGATACTTAGCTTTATAAAGATTTTACCTTTCCATATTTTTAGGTATGCCGCAAAAATTCAGATATTCCAAAACAGAAAAAGAATGGCTCCTACATCCTTCATGGGCAGAATGAATGCAGTAGTTACTTTGCGCATTGTAAAGAATATCTTCCATTTTAACTATCATTTCAACTATCTGCTAGTCATTACTGCAAGATGGTCCATGCAAATTACTATAAAATGGCTCAAATGAAGATCCCTGTATGAAAGGTCTCATAGCAGCTGTGTTACAAACAACAGTTTTCAAAAGATCACCTTACTTAAAACTGCACACTGTGTTAAATAAATGGCTTGTTTTTCTATCCTGCCACTGACAACTTAATACCTCCATGTTCAGAAATTACAAAAAGTATCACATTAGGAAAGTTTCCATGAAAGCTTTGACTATGTAATTCTATTTACTGAGGTAAGTTTTTTTATAGTTAATAAGTTCTGTTTGAGTGATATCTCGTAGCTGACAGTTCTTTTGAATTTGATTGCATGCTCATTAAAAATGATTTGCAACATAGCTGTGAAGAATTCAAGCTAAAAAAAGCCCTGTAAAAGTAGCGGACAGCAGTCCAGTAATTGAGAATGCTGCAGGTAGAATGGAAGTGTATACTGTAATGTTTCATAATAAAAAACTGTCTAAAAATTTCTGTAACCATCACCTCTTCATCATCTAAGCACTTCTCTTTACATAAAAAAAACCCAGAGAAGCAGAAATAGATTTTAATTTATAATTATCCCAGAGGAATTAATCTAGAGGAAGACTAGCATGGAAAACCTGAAAAGAGCAATTTAGCTTTAAAGGTAGGAATACTCACTGCTTTTATTTCTTCCAGAACACTATGATGGAACAGGACTATGTAGACTTCACTATTGTACATACACAGTTCCCCTTCTTCAGGCTAATCAGTGTCAATGGAGTTGCAAGCTCTGACATTCCTCCATCAAGTTACAGCAACTCCAGCAATTATTTTAATGTTTCTAAGCATGCCTCCAAATGCCCCTCTCTTCTTCCAAATAATCATATATTTTCCCAGCAACACTAGCACAGGACTGCAGTATTCTGAAACTGATTATACTTAACGAGCCTTAGCAGTTCCAACAGATGTATACCTATTTTTCCATAGAGCTCAAGGCTGAAATTCATGACATATACCTAATGGTTTGATGGAATTTACAAGCTCTGAAGAAATCAATCATATTTTCTGTCAACACCCATAAAATATATTTATCCATATAGTTGTATTAGAGTCATAGCTATCTATAAAAGCATTATGGATAGCTATATGACTGTGTTTGATACTAACATTAACTGCAAGACTTGAGGTCAAGCTATAGAGATAGACAGATTTTTATTTTTTTATTGTTTAAGGCCCCATTTCTCAAAAAAACTCACCAACCAATTAAAATCAGGATTTCCAAATGTTTACGGGCAATACATAGGCAATTCCAGGCAGAAACAGCATTTTGCTGGTATAGAAAAAATGGAATACAAAACCATGAACACTGTAAATTTAACAGTGAATTCATCACCACTGTCTGCACTGTAACTCACTAATTTATAGATTCAGCTTCCTGTTTAAAGTTGTATGTTAACTGTGCCAGTGGAATATAATGGCAGATTCAAGATCACTATGCAGGGAATTCACCCTTTGCAGAATGTATTTCTGTAGCCAAAAGACTGTGCAAGTATTTTCAGCAAAAATCAACATTTGGCTCTCCAAGCAATGGGACTTTCAGAATACATACAAGTTGACTACACAGAACAGTTGGCCAAAAACTTTGCAAGAAAGTACAGACAGAAGAGTATGACCCAATTCTGTCAACTTACCATAATATACTGTAAAGTCCTAATGCCTGAAATCTGAGTAAGAGGAAAGATGAATCTCTTGCAGAGTAGAACTAGAATAAATCACTTTCTGATTTCCAAACAATTACCAAATTAAAGCTGCTTCCATTACTGTATATCAAGCAAGCAAAAAGATCACTTCTTGTTATCTGTGATAAACTACACAAATAATTGTACCTTCTGTTTTGCTTATTAAACGCTAGTTATATTGACTGCAATTCCATCATTGTTTGCTCCTTCCATTCACTCAGTAAGATGAGAAACACTAAAAACAACAGAATCAAGACTTGCGTCTCAAGCACCACCAGCCAGCACTGAAAGCTCACCAGTCTCTGTATTCACAAGCTCTCATAACAGAGAGGAAAGTCCATCTCTGTTTACCTGACCTTCATTTGTATTTCTATATAAGTTAATGGAAAAGAACTGAAAAGGTTATGATCACACAACTAGACTGGTAGAAGCACAAACTAGAGAGTCTTTTCTTATGCTACAGATGTGCTAATTCCCTGCTGTCTTCAGAGACAAGGAACAGGGACTCACAAAGGTCTTAGGGACCTAGGGAAGCTGATGGCCAGATTCCACAGTTGATGGAAATTACAAACAAACATGCATGACCAATACCACAAACCTCTTAAAACCCTGCCCACATACACCAGAGAGTATCTGAAGACAGTTCTGACATGCACTTGCAATAGTCTTTAAGATTATGTCTGACTTCTAATTAAACAGAGGTAGTGTGGATCCTCCTATCTAACTCCAACATGCACGCTTTCAATAAAGGACTAAAGTGACTGTATAGGCAAGAACAGCACTTTCATCGAGTTTCACGGAGTTTTCCTCTGGGCAGGAAGATTAAAGCTTCTCTTTGTTCCCTTTCTGCCCTTGCCTGGTAACAAACTTCATTCAAGAAGAAACATAGAAGTAGCCAGAATTAAAAATAAAGAAAAAAGAAAAAAATAGTCATTAATTTTAGTTGAACATATTGCTCTATTTCAAAAGAATTCACTATCCATCATAGATTGCTAAGCAGATCCAATAGGTAAATACATTTTTAAAAGACAATCAAGGATTGTTTGAAGTATTTTAAATAGATATATGCTAATTAACATGGTTAATAAATTACAGTAGCACCAAGAGATAATTTTTCAGTTCAATATAGCATTTCAAGTTCACGCTCACTTGCTAATTCTACTAGTACAGTACAAGAAATTGAGTTTGTCTACAATAAAATGAAAGCTTTTTGTGGATAATAACATCATAATAATAATAAAAATAACAATAACAATAACAACAACAACAACGTTTTAATAATATTTAAAACTGGTTTCCTCACTCCTACAGCAACTGGAAATTTAAAACTAGGATTCAGAAGACCCATTTGTTTCAGATATTAGAAGTCCTCATAAAGCAGAGGAAAGGGGAAGGGAGGAATTCTCCAGATACTTTAAGAAGCTTCAGACCACAGCAGTGAGTCTATGTTTACTAACAGACAAGAGAACAATTCACTTCCTTAAAAAAGTGACCCCTCACAAGGTCATCAATCAAAATGCAGAGTAACCTGTTCACTAAGCATTAGAAAGGCAGAATGAAACAGACTAAAAGTTAAATTTTCTTACATTGTAGATACAAGACATATGTTAATTTCTTGAATGCTGTTGAACTCTCTTACAATTCTGATCCTATCTTCTGATTTTGTATTTCCATCAAGTCTTCGGTAATCTAGCCCAGATGCCATACAGTATTGTTCCAGCACATCTAGCAACTGGGTGGGGGTGGGGAAAAAAAAAAAGATTAAGTGCTTACTGTTATCTTTTTAATTAAACATAATCACAGAGGCCATGTTTCCCAAATATATTTGCAATAGACCAAGCACTGAAAATGAGAGTAGATCTTCACCATTTTGGTATTAACATCCTTGACTCTCCTTAGCTGTGATTCTACAGCATTCAAGGTGATTAATGTTGGTCTGCTGTGGTTTCACTCGGTCCTCCAACCCTGGCTGCCTGTCCCTTCTTTAAGTGATGCTGAATCAGTTCAACCCAATAAGCTGGCAGACAACTTTTAACAGTTTCCTACCATCTTAGTAAATTACAATGACTTGAAATACAGTAAATGAGCACCAGAGCCAGCACAGAAACACACTGATATGCACAGTCAGTTCAGAGGGATGGAGTGACAGACCACAGTAAGCAGCAGTCAGTCTGGTCTTGAACACCCTGAAGGACAACCCAAGAGACATGAGCATTTTACTACAGCATCTAAATATTAAACTTGCAGACTTCCTTAAAGCCACAAAATTATTAAATATTTAAGACTCTGACCTGTCATTCACACTATTATTTTTTAACACTTTTTAGTGCTATCATTACAAATATTTAAGTAAAGAAAACCATACTGTAGATTGCACCATTTCAGGAAACACATTATTCCCTAACAAGAAAATCAAGGAGCAAGTCCCTTAAAAGTGAAATGCACATACACCCCTAGCTCCAATTAAACATTGTTTTAAGTTCATACCAACTAGTGTAGTAAGTTTCAGGGTGTAAGTTTCATCACTGCTGATGGTCAAAAACCAGCAGAACAGAGGAAATTTAACTACTTTCAGTGCTAACACAAAGATTGTATGATACTTCCATCATAATTTGCTGCTCTAACTCAAGACATACCAGCTGAACTCAGTATGAGCTATCTACATCTGAAGTAATACAAGAATTTTAAGAAACTCTAAGGAAGGCAGAGTGTTACATTTGTTTTGCTGTCACCATTTTTATCAAGCGATAACATAAGGTTTCAATATGCTTCTGGAATACAGCACACTATCCTTATCGTTATTTCCCATAGTACAGAGAGAAAGGAAATGTGGTTGACAGCTGTCATCTCAGTGCTTTACACTTCAGAACTCACTGCTGCAGTTAATTGATAAAAATCATACGGAGCTCACCTTTGTGGAAAAGGAGAAAAGAAGAACTTTATCCTTAGTTTTTTGGAAGTGATTTAAAAGCTGCTGAAGGACCTGTAAACGAACCACAGAATACAAACGAAGAGGTTTTATCTGCAGGTCATCTCACACACACTTACATGTGTTTTCAACCTTTAAACAGGCTACACTGTAATTAATTGTTTGTAAAGCCAAACAGAGGCATAACAAAAAACACTACTAACATAACAAATGTGCCAAAGGTAATGGAGATGCTGGACCTATGCATTTTTCAGTGATCTACATGGAAATCCTGCTGTAAAAAGGCAATCATATCACTAACAGGTAAATTCAGAAGCTATTTATGTCAGGGCAACAAAATATTACTTATCTCATGCACTAGCTCACCTTGTGAATTTTTGCATTTAACAAATGCACAGAATTCCCTTGAAAACATGAAGGTCTGTTTTAAGTTTTCTGTACTACATCTGAGTTCAGAACTTCTTGGAACTTGTTTCTTAAAATAATCAGTGAGATCTATGCCCCTCCCCGCTCCCACTCTCGTCTGTTGCTCTGTTTACAGTAGGATCCAGCTTCCCAGACTCTGCACAGACCCTGAAATGCCAATAATCCGCCCACACACAATGTTCTTCTGGTGGGGAAGCAAATAATCCAGAGCCTTGTGTATAATAGTGATACTGTTATTTTCAACAGGAGCATGTCCACATCTGGCAATGGCAGCTCCAGAGTACCATGCAGAAGAAACACACAAAGGGGAAGAAGGAATTTTCTGTACCATGTCTGTAGCTTTCTCCCACTGGGCAATAAATGTTTTAAAATTTATATTTATTCAGTGATAAACAAACAGTTAATCAACACTGATTTCAGTAAAAGCCTAACAAATCTTTGATAACCAAATAATGATGAATATTTATATTAATTTTACAGTTCTGGATAATGTCTAGAATATAAAATAGTAATTATACATCACTTACAAGCCCTTTTGTATATGTTAGCCAGCCAGTTTTAAGTGAAAACAAGGTAGAAACAAGATAATTCTTGCTTGGTTTCTTTGTACAAGAACATATAAACCAGGATTTATTTTACTGAGAAAAAATCCGCATCAGGTAATTTAGCAAGAGCTAAATGACTTACATTTGCATTTTATTTAGCCACATTAAGAAAAAGAAACAGAAGAAAAAGTGACATGCTTTTAAAGTAGAAGGAGTTTCACTACTGTATTGTTGTTGTTATTATTAAAGTACGGGTCAAATAATTAATTTCCTACAGGAGAACAAACAAACAAATCCACCCAGTTTGTTTAAATAAAATGGATCAATGTCATGCCCACTGAGATTTCAGATATTCTGGAGTAAAGAACAGGTCTGACAAACACGGAAAAGTAACGAATGATTTTGCACCAAAGAGAAATAAATTCTGTGCTTGCGCACCAGAGTATTATCCTGAAAGCTGTTGGTCTGAAAAAGAAATACTTCATCATACCCAAGCAAAAGTTACATGCACTTTGTAAGAGCCCACATGGATTCAAATGCCTATCTCCCCATTACTATACATTGTGAGTTGCCTGACTGATGAAATTTTTACCTCTCACATTTGAGAATACCTTGTTTGTATACAGATGTCCAAGTTACCCTACGGTGTTTTTAAACCTTTAAAACCATGCCTGCCTGCCTGGGTTAAGTTTATGTTTAATGGCAGAAATTACTATTATTTGCAAAGTGCTCTGATAGACTTCCATTTTCCCACTGAACTAATGATAACATGCAAGGCAAAAATAAATAAATCAATCCAGGAGATGTGTATTAAGAACAGTATTCCAAAACTGCACAAATGGATGTCTGTGGAAATATTACATGTGTAGTTTAAAAAAAAAAAAAAAAAATTATTTCAAGTACCCAGACATTTAATAGCCCTTTTCAATTAGAAAGCATATAGAGTCTCTCTGAGCTAGAATTTTAACAATCAGACAAGGTAGTAATGAGAATTACTGCAGGCTTTTAAAGTTACCCTCATTCATCTTGACTTTTTTTCCAAGCAGTCCCCAATACTTCTGTATGGACAGTCTGCAATCTTTGTGTTTCAAAAGCAATGGAATCATTTGTCCTTGCACTTTGCAGGTCCACACTGTCTTACTTCATGAGAGAAAAATGGTGGTTTCCAAACAAGGCACACTCATTTCAATTCTCAAATATTCAACTATTTCAAGTTAAAAATCTAGGCATGAAATTCACCTTGCAATAGAAAGTGTAAGCAAGTCTTCTGAAAACTGTATGTTCTGCAGTATGATTGAAAATGAGGGGTAATTCCACAAAAAAAAGCTGAAGCTTAGATCACGTTACTGCATTATTACCTATTTCCCACTGTAACAAGGACATATTAAGAGTCATAGGTGTACCATCAATGCTTGTATGTGTACATTTGGATTACAGGGACTGTTTCTTCCAGGCTCTTGTTATAATCTTAAATTCAGAACAGAAAACCTGGGGCAGTACATTGTAAATGCTACAGCTTGCAAAACACACAGAGATGACTGCAGCCACAGCACAAGGTAGGACATGAACACCAATATGCCATTCTCTCACGCTTACATTCAAGCAATTCTAGTTTTACTGGTGGCGTAGGCATATTCCATAATACAAAAAAGTACGTTTCCCTGTGGTTTTTATCTCTGCTTGGTGAGAGAACAGAAGATACTTTAAGTTGATAGGTTAATCTTTTCAGCTCTGCAAAACAGTTAAAACTGCTTAGCTATTAACCTTCATAGACAAAACCCAGGCTTCCCCCCCGCACGCTGAATAAATTCAAATAAATGCCACAAACTTTTCCTTTGCAAATATGCTCATCTACAAAAGAATAATCACCTGCGCCAAAACTTCTGAGTAGCCTGTAATTTAAAGGATTAGATAATACCTATTCAGTCTATACTATCAGATGAAAGTTACAGAAGTATTTCAATTAGTTCCTAGAATTTATTTATAGAACAGAAAATGTGAAGACTACAGTGGTACATGGCTATGAAAAATATTTTACTATCATTTGTTCATTTATTTCCAAACAAACATGTTAAAAATATAAAAGGTAGTTTTCAAGCTCTAGTATCTGTTGGCTCTCCTCTGATTACTTTCTGATGGTAAGAGGACCTTCTATATTTAAATACCTTCTGAATTACTTTGCTTCCAGAGCATAAAAATCAAAATCATCCCAAACAGCTTTTTTTTTTCTAAATTCAGAATAGAAAACAAAAAAGTTAGACAGTATTTTCTCACAGGACAAACCTTCAATGCAATCAGCAGAAAAACAAAACAAAACAAAAACAACCAAACCACCACAACACCAGACACATATGAAGCGATTTTTTGCATCACAATTATTCTGAAGACAAAATTAATGGACTCAAAAAACACCTTATTTTTCAATGATGGCTACTTGGCCCACTACATAAAACTCCTCCTTCCAGGCACAGAGATATCACCACACAATCCAGAATATTCTGTTTACACTAAGATGTATTTCATGAACTGACCCAAAATTGAAGTTCCCCCCAAAAGAGAAAGCAGGCTGTCAATGTAAGCAATTCTATCAATAATTCTTAGATAAATTGGGTCCAGTTTGCAAGGGACTGAAACATACTGTAGATTTCTAAAACAAAGCATCACATATACAAAACCAGAAGTCATCAACAGTGGAAAAATATTCTGTAAGTCTACTGGGCTGTCATAAATGCAGCATTTGAAAAATGCTTCTATTCTACAATTCATAAAGTAAAAAACAAATCAAACAAGCAGAACCCCTCATAACAACATAAGATCAGAATTTCTTTGGTTGGAGGAAAGAAAGGTCCATATTGCTTTGTACCTTTGCCTACTACTACTGCAGTGTAGTGTCTGATCTGACTTTTTAAACAAGTCAGAGTAATAGAATGTTCTGTGAAACAGCAATTTTTTTTTTATTTCCTTTCTTAGTTTTCTACAGAAATTTATATTGCACTTACCCTCTCATCTACCAAACATACTGAAGAAATATTTTTCAATATAACCATTACTTCAAAAACACAAGATTGGATTTTAAAATCCAGTTTCCCATGATATACACTGCACTTTTTTTAAAAAATGGAAAATCTCCACACCTAGGCTCTTCTCAGGAATATGTGCTTATTTAGGGTTTGGGTTTTGTCTTTTTTGGGGGGACTTGTGGATTTCTTTGTCTTGCTTTGGCTTTTTTTTTTTTTTTTAAATTACCTACAACCTATATTAAAAAATACCTTGAAATATAGGAGTATTGATCAGTATAGACTGATAACAAGCTAGAAGATCGAAAATTAAATAAAAAGCATAATATATCAGGAAAGTTTCTAGTGAGATAGAATGAAGATGAACATTAGATGATTCACTAACAACAAAAAAACGACAGGAGTTATGATCATGCCAGTAGCTCACTATTTTTAATCACATATTTCTCATCTCTTTCTACTTATGTTTGGGCAAATTATCCAGAAATGTAAATTGGCCTGGCACTTATCTACTGGTAGCTCAGAGACTGATTTTTCTAACTGTGTGGACCTCCTCAACGTCAAAAGTAAACATTCAACCTGGCTGACATCTCATCAGTGTCAAGCCATCAGCACAAGCTCAGTATACTTAAGATGATCACAGCCTCTCCTCTCTTGCCACCTCAGTTATGCTCTTAGTCTGGCACTGCAATAGCAGAACCTTCTTCCTTACTACCCAAGGCCACTGCACAGAAGCATGAGAAGAGCCTTACTGCTACCAGCCAAGGTTACACCCAACCCACACAGCCACAGCCAGCTGCACCCCTGAGAAGACACTGCAGTCTATGTTGTCCCAGAAGCAACTCAGACTTATGGCCGCAGTTTGCAACAGATTCCTCCCAATAGGCAGTTCTGTAAGCAGCAGGCTTTAAAGGCATATAATTTTGGAACCTCTCTCTTAACTAAGGCATTTTTGCTTGCTTGTGTTGTTCACTACTGTGTCAGAAAACACATAATGAAAATGTTTTAAGGCGGTGCTGGAGTGAAGTATGCAATAGCCCCAAGAGACAAATTTCTAGAGAAAGGAAAACTAGTTTTAACCAATAAAAGAAGAGCTTCATAAGCACCACCAAAGATCGTGGACTTAGTTTTTACAGGTATGTATTAAATATTTGCTGGTAGCTAATTTAACAGTAAAGTTGACTTTCATGAGATAATTAAGTATATATAACAAAGCAGGCCTCTCACATGTATGTAATAACAGAAAAGAAAGATGTTGCTTGCATAATAACAGATCAATGAAGTGATAACAACCATTTCTGTTAAAAAACCACAGCCCTGCCACTGCCTCCCTGCCAGTCCCAACCAACAACTGTGAATATCCAGGTTTATAAAGAGCAAAACTATAGTACACTTCATTCTGCACAGCTTCTTACCCTCCAGTTACTCTCAGCGCAGGAACTCTCCTAAACTAGTACGGTTTTCTTTTTCATGAGCTACATTACACATCTTTTTCAGCTATTCATCCTGTTCCCCTCCAAAATCAGAGAAAGGCATAGTTTCTGATGTAAGGAGTTTTACAGGTTCACACTTAACATGTTTATTTTGTTCATCTTTAGTGTGGCTCCTATTAGCTTCCTTTGATGTCCAAAGGGTTAGAAAAAACAGTAAGCACTCAGTACATCTTCACCAGTTCCATGCTACTCATGATTGGGTAGGTCCCTCTCAAATCCATCCTAAGACATTTTTTCCAGGCTGGAGAGTCCCAGCCTACTTGGCTGCTTTTGCCCCACAGTACTGATCACCTTTGTGGCCCTTCTCTGAGCTCTTCAACATCTAACATATGTTTTTTGAGAGAAGGGACTGGAACTACCCACAATACTGAAGGTGTGCACAAATCATTAAGTCCATAATGATTCTGGTTTCCTCTCTTTTACTTTCCCAAATATTTCCAACTGCCACCAAGTCGATGGTTTCATGGAACTACCTGTCATAATACTATGACCCCAACCCCCTTGACTGTAAGGGCCATTTCCGCGCCTATCACTAAATATGTGAAGCTAACATCTTAAGGTTTCTTTGCATCACAGATTATTCTTATCCAGTCTTTGCTCACAGGCACCCTATCCATGACAGGAGACACCTGCTGTGGTACCACCACCATAAACAGAATGATTAAAAAACCACAACTATTAGGTGTACATTTTCTTATATCCATATACTACAGCAGCAGATCTATTACTAATACATATTTTTCTTCTAAAGTGCAGGTTTACCTTCATTTTTCCACTGTACTTTGGATCTGAAATTGTTTCAAAGGCTGCATCTTTGCTTAACTGCACAAAATCTGGAAAACTGGAAAATACCTGGCTGCACACCCGTTTGATATGTGCTTCCTGGAAGAAGAGCAGAAAGTTTGAATAGGCATTAAAAATTAGAGCTACATTGGGATACCACTAAGCCATACAAGGAGTTAAACAGGTTGAAACAAGTGATCTGCTGAAGTAACTCAAGCAGAAAGAGTTACATGGTTTTATTCAGTTCACTACAGAAGTGCTGGATAAAACATCTCCTGGGTGTTTTGGTTTGCTTAATAAAAAAAAAAAAAAAAAAAAAAAAAAAAAAAAAAAAAGAGGATCTTAATCTTAAACTGTGGATTCTAGTTACTAGAGATGCCCAAAATTTCTTCTCTAGGGCAGAGACTGAAACAGGACTGGCCAGAAGTGTCAGTCTGAAGAACTCTCTTGGGTTGAGGTTTGCATTACCCAACAGTTGTGTACCAGTATTTCTCTTGACCCTCTGGCATGATAAGCTAATATGGGAATTACATATAGTCCCACCAATACGACCAAAAACATTAAGGGAAATGCGTTTAAACTGTTCAAAAGCCATGTAAAGCTCCACTGCTAGAATTTGGGTAGCTCTGAACTTGAACATGACCACATACTTCAAGTCTACTTTTCCAGAGAAACAGAAAATATCTAACCTCTCACCTAAGAATAACACATGTGATGGACTTTAGTATTAGAGGTAAGAAATAGTACAAAATATCAGTGTCTTCACCAGATTTTGGAGAGGTTAATAATTATGTATGCTGTAAAAGACAGTAAGTCTCAAAATACTTATATATTTTTATTTCCGTAGCTATTTAAACTCTCCAATGTTGTTATAACAAAACCTACATATGCAATATACAAAAAACCCCACTGAAAACATTTCAGTATATACTGCATGTAAGGCCCTGGACATTAATAGTAACATTATCTAAAAAGCAAAACTGCTTTAATGGAACAAACTTGCCAAAATTAGCTAGGATTTTCTCGTTTCCATTCCTTTGTGACTTCTCAGAGGTAGTGGTAACATCCCTAAATCTCTTTGCTCATTCTTGGATCTTAAGGTTCACATGCAGGCACTTTTAAAAACTCTGCTGTTTGTGGGTCTTGTTACTTGCCACAGTAATAAGATAAGCTGATACTGTTCTCTTGTTGAGCATTATCTACTAATACATGTTTCTCATTAATTAAAGAAGCTCAGCTCTGAATATAAAGTACTAGAGAAAAAAACTCCCACACATTCTAATTGCCTATTATTTATTTCTTTGCACAAAGATATTCCTCCTACTAGACACTTGTCATAAATGGAACAGAAATGGCACTCCTAGAAATCACTAAAAATTACTCTCCCTCCTAAAGTTCGCCAATGTTTCTATAACCCTTATTTTCAGATATGCATCAACTAAATGAACTTACTGTTGTGTAACATCTCAATCTATAAGGGCTGCAGTCTGAATTATTGAATGGAAAACAAATTTTGCAAAATATCTTAATTTCAGTTAGTTAAGACTTAAAAATGAGGCCAGAAGCAATTTTCATTCAAGAGTTTTCATCGCATTTTCCACAAGTCCATTTTTTAGATACTTCTGAAACTAACCTGCTGCTTGCTAGTGTTGTCCGTCTGCAGCAGTGCAGCATGATTTGCAACCTTCTGTAGGATTGTCAGGTAACTGAAGCACAGTGACTTAATTGTTTCACCGTAAGCATTTACCTACAAAAAAACCAGAAAGAATGTTTATGCAAACAAATATTCCTGAAAATAGAAAATAATCTAAAAAATGCTATTCTTACAAGGTTTAATGCATTAGCAATTCTAAGTAGTACTATAACTGATCCCAAAGAGATGCATACTGTATTTTTAACAAAAATGCAGCATTTTTTTTTTTTCCTCAGCTTTGTGATCCTATTAATAGAAAACATCTTCTCAAAAAGAAAAAAGAACCAACAACTATGTTCATAGCTTACTAAACATTTCAGATACCACGGTATCTACAGAAATTGTTAAGATAACCAAGAATTTCTGAGCAGACAGAAAGACAGTAACTTCAAAATCATCACAGATTGGTTTGGGTAGGCTTTGGGTAACCCTGACCTGCTGGTTATGCTTCTTTTGATGCAGCCCGGGCTGCAACCGGCTTTCTGGGCTGCAAACACACATTGCTGGGTCATGCTGAGCTTCTTGTCAACCAACATCCCCAAGTCCTTCTTCACAGGGCTGCTCTCAATCCACTTATCACTCAGCCTGTATTTATATACTTGGGATTGCCCCAACCCACGTGCAGAACCTTGCTCTTGGCCTTGTTGAACTTCATGATGTTCGCATGGGCCCACCTCTCAAGCCTGTCAAGGTCCCTCTGGATGGCATCCCTTCCCTCCAGCACGTCAACCGCACCACACACCTTGGTGTGGTTGGCAAACTTGCTGAGGACGCACACAACCCCACTGTCCATGTCGCTGACAAAGATGTTAAACAGAGCCGGTCCCAATACCAACCCCTGAGGAACGCCACTCATCACTGGTCTCCACTGGGACAAGCAGCCATTGACCACAACTCTGAGTGTGACCATCCAGCCAATTCCTTATTCACCAAGTGGTCCATCCATCAAAGCCACGTCTCACCAATTTAGAGACAAGGATGTCGTGCAGGACAGTGGCAAAGGCTCTGCACAAGTCCAGGCAGATGACATTAGTTGCTCTTCCTTTATCCACCAACACTGTAAGCCCGTCATAGAAGGCCACCAAATTTGTCAGGCACGATTTGCCTTTAGTGAAGCCATGCTGGCTGTCACCAATCACCTCCTTGGTTTCCATGTCCCTTAGCATAGTTTCCAGAAGGATCCACTCCATGATCTTGCGTGGCACAGAGGTGAGGACTGGCCTGCAGTCCCCCAGGTCTTCCTTTTTTCCCCCTTTTTAAAAATGGGCGTTATGTTTCCTCTTTTCCAGTTGGTGGAGCTTCTGCAGACTGCCAGAACTTCTCAGATATGAAAGAGAGTGGCTTAGCCACTTCATCTGCCAGCTCCCTCAGGACCCAGGGATGCATTTCATCAGGTCCCATGGACCTGTGCACTTTTGGGTTCCTTAGATGGTTTCGAACCTCATCTTCTCCTAGGGTGGGTAGTTCTTCATTCTCCCAGTCCCTGCCTTTGCCTTCTGTGACTTGTTTGGTGCGGCTGGAGCACTTGCCAGTGATTTAAATGTAAATCACATCAAGAACTGTTTGAATGACTTCTTATCCTACAACAGTTAACTTTGTACATTTTTGCTGTAGAGAATAGTAAAGCTTTATAAACATCTCAAGTAACGTAAGTCAAACAACTTCAAAAGTTCTACAATGCAGCAGCAGCAACGGCATCAGCTATTTTTCTGGTTATGGTTGGCTGATTCGACCAATATTCATTTCCATTTCCCTTCTCAAGTTACTAAATTTCACGGTTAACTTTGAAATAAGACAGTCCATAAGAGCACTTAAGCATCTGCAGGCCTGCCTACTGCCCTTTGTGAATCAAGTTCAACAGCATTTTACTTTTTGTACAGAACATCACAAGAAACAGAAGCCTGCAGAGAACTCATGCTAGTATCCATGGAATATTAAACAGGCTGAGAGGGGGATTGTTTTTAAAGAAAGATGCAGAAGACTGAACAAGCTACATCATTTGGAGAAAAAACCCAAACCACTACACAAGAATCAAAACAGGATAGAACGAAAATAGGGAGAAGCAAGTATGACACATATGCTTCTACATGGTTAATAAAAGATGTACTTCATCTGAGCCTACTGAATGATGTGGGCGAAACAAATACAAAGCTAGACTAATTGAGTGTTAAAGAAGTCCAGAGAAGATGGAAGAAATCTGCAAAGCTTTTACTAGTGAACAAAAGTTCTGCTTGTGCTCAATGGCTACTGTTCTCCCTTCAATGAAGCAAAGCAAAGTGCATGTTTAGTGCCGCAGAAAGACACAGTCCAACTGCAGTTATAACACAAGCAAAGCCCACATGACCTGCTGGGTCCAGGATGCCAGGATTTGCAGCTTCTGCATAGACCACCTGAGATGCATGGGAGCAGAGCACCTGACATACTGAACATCCCAATGCAATACCCTTGCCAACATGAACTATATCACAGGTGCACATCCAGAACAACACATCCAGAATCTACTGCATAAATAACAACCACTTGCTCAGGGCATGTGAAGCAGCTTTGCTGTAATCCCAAAGAACCTAACTCCATCATGCTTGCGACGCAGCCACCCGTCCAGTTTCCAGTCACGATTTCCCAAACAGATGGCCTATGACCATGCAGCCATTTCAAACAGCTCTTCATCGGCAGAGTCTCCTGAGAAAACCAGAAAGGCTATGTTCTACAATCCAAACAGTGCAAGTTCTTACTTTGTAACAACAGTTCTTCCTTTTACGGCCGCTGTTGCAGCTACAAGGCTCTCCTGCTCGTAGTACTAAGTTTACATCCTCTGTCTGTAGCACAGCCTGGTACACTGCTTTCTGGAACTCAGTCAGGGAACAGTACACCATCTGTCAAAGAGAACCCCAAAAACACAACTACGTTCAGTATACAATGAAAAGCCAAACAGCACTGCATCAAATAACACAAACCAGGGAACATCGAAAATAAAGTAGAAAACAAGAGTGTATTTGCCTAAATAGTTACAGGAAACACCAAATGGAAAAATGTGGATCTTGACACCAAAATAGAATGAAATTTTAGCCAAAATGTATGTATACTTATTTTATTGCCTCGCAAAATTCTACAAAAAATATTAACATCAAGCTACAAGAATTTGCCGTTAGATTTCTATAAACCTTTCAATCTGGCTTTTCTGGGGGTATAGGAGGAAGGAAAAAACGAGAGAAATAAATGGATAATTGTAACTATGGATTCCCCTCTGCTTTGCCAGCTGCTTAATTTATGCTTTCTTTCCTCTTTTTAGGCACTAGCTGTTGTAGGGCACTACCAAAGGCAGGACAAACAGAATAAGCAATGGGAAGGCAAGGACCTACACAGGGCTATGGCCAAAACTCTTATCCCTCTTCTTAGCGACCATGGGTGGCATCTCCATGACATCTTTAGTCTTAAACAGCAGGAGACAGAAATCCCAAGATCATTCCTCAACCTAGGCCACCCACACAGCAGCAGCACCATGCTGAGCTATAATAATACAGCAGTAACTTGAACATATACTCACATTAACAAGAGAATGAAAAGAATAAAACCTGCTAGATTTAGAAAAGCTATTGACTGACGTTTGTGTTAATCTTTCCTTCCAAAGACAGTTTAGATGACATTATTATACACCGAGAATGAAGAACAAATACCAAATTTTGAAAACAAAACCAGCTGCAAACTGACATATTTGCCTACTTGGGAAGAAAGCACAAATATATGTAATGAGAATTTATCAGAATGCTCACCTATAGTCATAAAGTATTATCACTTCATATAATGTTTACATTAGCCCTGGATGGCCAGGATTAGAGACCTATCAACAATCAGCTTTAGGTTTGGGGGTTTTCTTTTATTTAGTGACCTAAAATGAAGGAGTTAAAAAAATAAAAGCATACTGTTCCATGCATAAAGTGCCAAGCTGCAAATTCAGCAGTCCTACATAGAATTTCAAGAGATCTGCATACATTGCATTGGGTTTGCACGGATAAGTACAAAAGTCCACATAAAATACATGTGTAAATCACTAGTCAGAAGTCTAGCTGAGCATTTTCATGCTTGATTAACTCCATTTCAACATGCAATCATAGTAATTATGTGAACAAAGCACACTACCGCTTGTGCGTTTTTTCCAAGGCTCTGGATCTTCTTAAGTTCTTAAGTCCAAAAGAAAACCATAAACTACTACAGGCATGATGAAAGAGAAAAAATACAACAAGAACAAAAAAGAATAGATATATTCATTAGCACTGTGTTTGAAATGTGCAGGCACTCTTACTCTGTCTTCCTTTTTTGGCAACTGATCACTGATAAGCGCTTTTGTACGTCTCAGGAACCAGCCAGACATTTTTCTTGCTAGCTTCATCATGGCCTGACGACCTGTTGCTAGCTCTCTTTTAGTTGCAGTATGCCTCTGGCCATGCTCCACTGGATCAGAAAATTTCTTCTTGAAATGTACTCTGCTACCCAAAAGTCCTGGTACGGCCCTATTAAAAAACAAAGGAGGCTGGTCTGTGTGTGAAGGAATAACAGCATTTTCTTTACTTCAAGGCAGTCTATCCTCTTCCATGGATTAAAAGCACACCATAAATTGTTTCTGGCTAACAGAAGGAGATCTTCAATTAACAATCACTAGAGAAATTAATAAAAATTATGTATATAAATAGAAACACATACTACTTCCAGACATGCCATTTTGTCATTTACTTTCTGTGACTCTCAAATATTAAGAGATTCCCCTTAGGAAAAGGGTTGCCATCTCCACAAAAAAGAAAGCTCAGCAGACTAACAGAAGTCACAAGTATACAGAACCTTTAAACCACAAAGCTGCTACTGTTCAGGAGCCTAACTGGAAGCTAAGCAGTCATGTTTTCAATTTTTACTGTTTTTATTAAAGTCACGTTATGCAGATATCGCAATTTACTAAATAAAATCTTAAGAAACTCAATAGCAAAAAGAATTTAGTAATCATTAGCAGCACTACATATTGGAACAATCTATTAACAACATCAGCATAGTTTAAATGGACCAGATGCAGCTTACTGTTAAAGTACTTCTTTCCTGGTATTTCAATTCAACATGCATATCCTTATATCTAAGGTATGTTTTCTTTTGTTCCTCCTCTGTAAAGCATCCTCAGCAAGACTTCTATGTTTAGATTTATATCTAGGGTTAGTTCCACCCCTCCCTCTCCATTAAAAATTTTCCTGGACAAGAATGTTGCTTCGCAAATATGCACACGTGCATTTTGAAAAACAGCAAAATATTATTACTTTCATCTTCCAAGTAAGTCAGCACATATTGGACAGAGCAAAGGCACAATGCTGTTCGAAGTTGTGTAATGACTGTCCATCTACTGTGCAGAGGACAGAAGAAGAAAAAAACAGTGTCCTTAGAAAAGGAAGGTAAACATGGCGGTGGGGAAAGAAAGTAATTTTAACTGTTTCCCAAATTCCCCAAAGAAGCTATATAAGAGGAGGTCCAAATGTATTAAATAACTGTAAAATTCATACCAGTAGCTTACCTCCATAGATGTATTGGAAAAACATACCTACATTCTCACAAAATGTTGCGGTTTTTTAGGGGGAGGGCTGTGGTTTGTTGTTGTTTTGACTCTATCCCAGTCCCACTGCATGGTTAACATATAGAGGTGTTTGGCCATAAAAAAAGATATTTTATTTACCAGTCCATAACACACCAAAGTTCCTTCATATTGTTTTGAAGAATGGTTCCAGTAAGACCTATGCGAACACTGCATTTTAATGACTTCATGGTTTGAGTTATTTGAGCCTTTGGATTCTTGATTCTATGTGCTTCATCCACTATCACAGCAGACCATTCTATACTGCAGATCAACAAGAAATATTTTATTAACTGAAACTACTTATTCCCTCATCCCACATACACATTAAAAGTGAAGTCAGACACACAAGTAGCTGTGATTATTATAAGACTCTGTTCCTTTTTTATTTTTCTGTTTTACATTGTATTATACTACTTGGTTTCTTCATATTCTGGTTAGTAAATTCAATTGCCATAGTTAAATATAATGGCTAAACTACACAGTCAAATAAATAAACTACTGATAACTGTACAAACTGCTTTCTGTAAAGAACGCAGCTTCAATCTCTGGAGCAATCAATCCAGTAAATCTCAGCAGCACTAATTCCACTCATATGTAAGATTTAGAAAAATTAAATAAATTTCCGAAGGTAAACTACTGAAACATGCTTAACACAGGTATGCTTCATTTTCTCAACAAAATCTTTCCAGTGTAACTATAAGTAGACTGAAATAATTTCAATCTGTGTGGTTTCCTACATGAATGCATCACTAAACTTCTTTAATATCTATATGATACCAATATGGCAGGGGAGTTTTAATATTTTGTGATTCTGTGACTAGGAGGAACATATCTAGAACCAGGGACTGAAAGGTATTTTGCAGCCAAGTTCAAGCATAAAACTTGGAGGTAGAATGACCTGGATACTGTTTAAGTCATCAAGTCCCCAGGAAGACATGTATTAGCTTTATAAGATTGCTAAACTATATATATATATATATATATATACACACGAATGAGTATTTCGGAACACAATCATATGTACTTTGATGATACTTCAAGCAGCAAAAAGCTAAAACAGACATGTTTAGAAGGAAACCTGTCTCCTGAGCAGGCTGCATTTAGTTCACTAATCTGAAGGCTGATCTTGTGGCATTTTTGATGCCTGCTAAATACATTCATTCATATCCGAGTCCCTTACATTCCTAAAATCTGCTAAAAATTGGGAGTTTCTGAAAGGAGACTAACAGATGAACACATGCTAGCTCCTTCAACTTAATCTCTCATTATGCTGATTTACATGCATAACTGAGCCTATGTATTCTTATTAGTAATAATTAATTAAGACCAGTTTTGGCGGCCAATCCATCATTCTAGCTAAGCAAGACACATAGCCTCTTCCAGTGTCAACGTTATAGGCCCATCCAGCCACATGCTGTGCAGAAACAGTTTAGTTAATTTGTATGCTGAAGCAATGTATTTGCAAGCAGTCAGTCACATGTCAGATCTGTTCTGCACACCCACCTATTTCCTGACCACTGCCTATTCAATGACCAAAACTGAAGAGTTCCTCAGAAAGACAACAGCAGGAGTTAGGGTACTGTTAACACAACTCCTTTAGTATTCTATCTGCACTTTTTCAGACCTGAGCACAGACACAGATGGAGATCTGACTGTTTTGTCCTGGTGGTCTGGACAGCCATCACCACTCTGGAGCCTGGAGCTTTCCCAACACATAAAATGACAAGATCTGCAGATTCACTGACAACACCAGCTACTAAGGGCAGGCTGCTACTACTGGCTATTCACACAACGTGTACCCTACTTCCAAGATAACATAAGGAAAGAGGACCACTAGGATCAGATGAGAGGCCAAGTACTCCTAAACATTGCAAAACAAAAGGCAAAGCTCTCCAGTTTGAAAATGCTGACAGCTATGGAGCAAATAAAGTAAGATTTCTAATACAATCTGCTGTCAGAAAAACCTCGATTCTGCTAAGTCCCTCAGTGTATTTAAAACTACATATACAAACACGTCTTATACCTCAGAGTTTTTAGGACTCAAGAATTTCATCAAGCTGGTGAAAAGTGCAAATAACAAGGAAAATACCTTTTGATTGCTAAATACCTTTTTAGCAAATACCTTTGCTAAAAATTCCACATTTTTTTTCTCCTTACACTGTACTGAAAGATAGAAATAACTTCTGCATAACTTTTAGGTACCACTGGTTTTCAGGCAGGCAATTCCTGCACCTTTTAGAGAACACTTCATGAATGGATTAACAGCAAAGACTAGCTTTATGAAAACTATTCAAATGCTTACTTCTCCAAAGCATCCCACTACAAAGATAGTAGAGGGTAAACTCCCCAAAGATAGTTAAATAGGATTCCCCTCTTCAGCCCAGTGAGTCATTGGATTTAGCAGTAAATACATTGCACAGAAAGAAGAAGTACTTGTAAATAACAACGCAAAATTAGACAGTTAAAATTCTGCATGTAGAAAAAGACATTAAAATAATTACCTGTTAATTTCATCCAAATACAGGCGAAGTATCTCATATGTTGTAAGGGCAACTTCACATTTCCCTTGCTTGATACGACTCAAGTCATCATCTTTTTTACTGCCATGTAAGACAGAGACCTTGAAGTACCCCCATGTGTCTAACTCATCCTTCCAGTTGTACAGCACTGAAAGAGGGGCTACTATGAGGAAAGTCTGAAAACAAATAGATGTTACAGTATTACTGGAAAAACTATAACATAGCACTTTCTCAATAAGGAAAAATCAAAATGTTGAGATTTATTTTACTGCCTAGAGCAGTCTGAACTCTTTAATTCTGTCACTTCAAAGCATAATATAGGAAATACCTGAATAGCCAACATAAATTCAAAAGTAATCATTTTACTCAGAGTATGTAAATAGTACAGAAGAAAAATACTGTAACACTAAAAAAAAAATTACCAAAGTAGTGCTACTTACTCAAATTACACTCTAACAACTGCAATAAGACATAAGATACTATCACTTTTCTTTGTTATAGCATCTGTATCTGTACACCATAAAATGTTTTGCAGATGGAGAAAACAAAAGAATGAAGAGGGTAAGCAGCTTCCACCAATTCACAACTCTCATCATCATACAACTTCAAAACAGAAAGGCATGAAAAGGGTTTAGAAATTTAAGACAGCGCATACAACTCATTTAATATCATAGAATACTAAGATCAGTGAGGTGGGAAGGGACCTCAGGAAGTTTCTAGTCCAGCTTTCTGGTCAACACAGGGGCAACACTGAATTCAGACCAGGTCATTTAGGGCTTTCCCAATTCAGGTCTTCCAAACCTCCCAAGGATGAGGGCGGTCCACAGCCTCTCTGTGTGACCTGTTCCAATACTTGATTGTCCACTAAGTGAAATTCTTCTTCTCTTATTCCCAGTCAGAAGCATTCCTGGTTTTTTCGTACAAAGTGCTATCCCTTCAACTCTTCCTCTCTGTATTTCCCGAGGAACCTGTATCCATTATTCACAGAGCTATAGTCATATGAATCATTCTGCCTGTCAAATATTCCAATTATTCCAATAAAATAGAAATTGCATGGGTCCTGTGATGGGTAAAATTAAAATGAACTTCAGATTTCTCTCATTCACACAGAACTTTTACATGCATCTTTATTTGCTGTAACTGTATTTGATTACCCAGATTGTCAGTCAGACTTACTTCTGACCTTATTCACAGTCATTCAGGAAAATATGTGACGTCACAAGAATATTAGCAATAAATTTTCCAAACATATGCATTTGCCTTAATTATTTAAATATCCTGTTAATATAGATACACATGGTTTTTGTACTTTAGAAACACAATCACACGAAACTATAATTTTCTACTCACCGACACAAGCTTTTCAAAGTACTCTAGCCACTAATCTCATTCAGGTATTTGCAAATGTTTTGCGCTAGTGCAGACCAACAGCATTAGCAGATCAGACAATAACAGCTAGATAATGCATTATGACAGTCTGGAAAACTGAAGGCTTCCCTAGCATTACTAGGGAGGCCATGAACTCCTAATCTACCTAAGTAGCTGAATTTTAAAAATGAATATATATAAAGTCCTGAAGCAAACAAACAAAAAAAAAAATCCAAGTATTGCTTTTTACCAAAATCCTTAAGCTTGTGTCACTAAAAGCTGTACCTTCTTGGGGTTAGTCTTTGAGTCTTTTTTCATTGTTCTCCGTAAAAATTCTGGCATATTATTTTCAATATCCTCACGTGTTCCCTTTTTGTGCAACACTGCAGCCAGAAATGAAATTACCTTGAGAAAGAAAACAATTCTCAGTGATTATGTACAAAAAGCAAACAGAAATTGAGTTATATTGAAAATAAACATTTAGGACAAAATCCTGGACAGGATTCAGTAAGGTGGTTTGGGGAGGCGATTGGGGTTTTGTTTGTTTCAAATCTATCTCAGTTTCTAAAATGGGAAGCCCTTCCCTTGGAGATTCCTGAATTCATGATAAGAGGAATTAATTGTGCTATTTTACTCTTTCATCCTCTCAAGTGGAAAAGTCCCAAAAATACAAAAGAGACTATGAATGAGCCAGGAAAAACTAGAGATGAGGCATGCCTTGCAACTCTCCATTTTCAGAAGGACACTTGAATCTTAGATGAGAAAACAGAAGGAAGAGATACTTGCTAACTATACTCCCAATGCTACTTCTGCAATCAAGGAAGAAGAGCTTTAAACTAGAGGTTCTATTTTCACTAATATGTTGTTTTCTGTATGCCCCATTCCTTCCAATTCCTGTTGCTAGCTTCAAAAGCAGTTCCTTCTGTTGTGTTGGGGCTATATTCTGTCATCTGCCTCAAACAAATCAAGGTAATTTTGCTTTGATTATGAGACGACACTTATTATAATACATCACAGCAAGGACAAACATCCCAGCATAGGCTACTCCAAGTTGCTCCCGTGGTAATCCAAACCAGGAAGAAGGCACAGAGATAGCTGGCCAGAACATGCAAATCCATAAAATCCACTCGGGCTAAATGGTATCCATGGGGCTAAGCAGCAGCAAGGACCAGATGCATCATCAGAGAGGTGCCCTTCTTTTGAAAACAGGCCCCTTTTACTCAGAGCAACCAGCTCCAGACACTTCCTTTTGCAGCTGCTGCACATCTGCTCATAGCAGGGCAGAGGTAAAGCTGTCAGCTGTTGATTTCTGAAAAAGAGGAAATTTCCAGAGCCTTCTCCCCCTAATGATGGTGGGGAAAGAGCCAGCAGGAGTGCAGAAGTGCAGGAAAAATACCTGAGAAGAGTAAAGGTAGATGAGCAGAAGAGAGAGGAAACCCATCACATATGGGGCCACAGAGTGGGAAAGAGGTATACAGAAGAAAATCAAACACTTTTAAGCATAAGATTTCATATAAACTGACGCTAAGAGGAACTGCAAGTTTGCACATTGTTTGGCTTTAATTTTTTTTTTTAAACCTTTTGAGAATCAGAATAAAATTCAACCAAACATAAAATCTCCATGTGCCTTCCAGATCCTCCATCTTTGGAAGAATAACGCATCACAAATTTGTAACAATAGCAAAGGCTGTAAAAGGGCAACTCTTATGAGAAACCTTTGGCTCTTGCAGATAAAGCAGGAAGCCACCAAAAGGCCTTGATAGGAAACTAACTTACTGCAATCACATTAAGAAACAACATTATTCTACTTGCCTCCACCTCAGTTTCAGCTTGAAATGAAAGAGCCGTACAGTCAGGCCAACTTAAGCAAAAATCAGTTCAGAATTACAAAGAACATTAAAATGCAAAAGTTTTCTAGGAAAGTCTCTGTCTCATAAATCATCCTGTAATTTAGAAACAATAAGGTTCAGCCAACTGACAAGCATAAAACAAGTTTTCTATAAGACTAAATCAGTTACTTGATGAAGTTTAACTAATATTTCTTCTTTCATACATACTAATCTTTTTTAAACAAGTCCCTTTTACCTCATATCCACTGAACTGCCTTTCGCATGCTGAACTTGAACAACGTAAATACTGTGTTTCATAAAAAAACCACAAGATATTCTTCAAAACCTCTACCTTTCTTCTGCAAACTTGACACTATGATTAAAAGAAATAACGAATAGATGTGAATTCCACGCAGGAACACACTGTTGCCGAGTGATAAACATGACCAGATCACTACAGAATCAGCTCCAAGATTCAAAAAATACAAGAGATGCAAGCAAGGCAACTCAATTTTTTCCCCTAGTTTACTACTATCTTATACAGGTGCTTCTTACTATATTAAATCAGATTATTTGCAGTTCTGAGTAGAAACAAACTTCCATAACTACCAAATTCTTAAACAGCCATGGACAAGAAACATGGCAAAGCTTAGGTAAAACACAAGGTAAATGGATGTTTAGTTTTAATAAACATCTGTTAAAAGAGCAGCAGCAGCTACACAAATCCATGATGCATCTCTAAATGCTCTATCCAAAGAAGTTTTGCCAGTTTAGTTTACTCACTCTTGTGAAGTTTGCTACAGAACAATACTTCTTTGCACTGAAGGGTGTCTGTCAACATTCTCCTAAATAGAAGGGCAACAGATGCTACAGCCAGTATTTGTCAGTGAAGGAATGAGCTTGCATTTGACACATGGAGGAAGAAAAGACAGGGGTACAAAGACTAGCCACCATAGGATTCAAGCTGCTAACTTAAAAAAAGACAGATTAAAGAGAATTTTCAAACATAAAGACATCCTAATTTTAGTAAAATAAATAAATCGTTTGGGCCACACTGATTCAAAGCATAATGGAAAAATCCAGCTATACTTTGTCCTTTCATCAACCCGAGTCATATTTCCAAAAGAGTGATAAAAATAACATGGAACATTTAAGCACTTTTTGCAGAGATGGGAGTATATGTGTCTGCTTCTTCTCGTTCCCAGTACAGTTAAACTATTTGCTTTCAAGAAAAAAGGAAAAAGACATTTAAAGAGCTACAGTCAAATAAGTGCTGTAAGTACTTTCAGCATACTCCAGTGTAAATTATTTTCATGATGCACAGGTAGCAATCCTCTAAGGAAATGCAACATAAAATGAATACTAACATTTTAACTATTGTAATTACCCATGTTTACACTAAAAGGGGCCACATCCCAGTTTTGTGGCCTGTCAGGAGTGAATCTTAAATCGGCAATGGCTCCTGGCTCTAATTGCTGTCCTGGACAGTCACATCCTGCCTCCTCAAACTCCACAATAGCAAAGGGAGATTAAGCTCCACTGAGGTACCTTTTCTTAAATACTTTATTTTTAAAAAAGATTTACAACTCACAGAAAACACACTGCCAAAAAAAAAAATCTATTCTCTCACTGTAACAATCAAAAGGAGTACCTGTATTGTCTTTCCAAGGCCCATATCATCTCCAAGAATACAGCCCCTTTTATTAGCATAGTGTCCATACAGAAATAGGGCTCCTTCCCTTTGATAATCACGCAGGTATCTGTTAATTGTATATGGGATAAAATCACCGTTGTCAGATAATTTAAAAGCAACTGCAGGCGTCGGAAGATTTCGGTCAGGAAAATAAGGCTTTTCCAGATCACCATCATCAAAAACTAAGCTTTTCCAGGGTCCTCTACTGGCTTTGACTCTACAAAGTTTAGTTATTAGTATTTTCCTTTCTTCAGACTCCAAGAATGATACAACAGCAAATGATTTTCCGTTCTTGTCCTTTTCAATAGAGGATATTGTTCCTTCATGAAGTTTCCCGTCTTCCAGAAGAGGGGCAAGGCATTTCTCCCCAATATGCCAATTATCTATAAAAAAACCCCAAACACGCATAGTGATAAACTGTGCAGATATATAAAGTAGTTCATTTTGTCACACTAATAAAACACTGAATATAAATTTATTTGAGAAAATGCATACAACTTAAGATAAAATGTTTATTGAAGGTAGCACTAGAATCAAGATACCAATTACTGTTCAGAACCAAATCCTGAGCTAGACATAGAATTACAGTTTGCTGAAACACTGCTATTTTATAAGTGTCTGAAAGAATATATGAAAAAAATCTGATATGAAAGCCAAATTCTGATACATTAAGTTGTTACACAGTGGCTTCACACAGGCAAATGCTGATGCCTGCAGATTTAGTGCAGGGCCATGAAGATGATCAGAGGGCTGGAGAACCTCTCCTATGAAGACAGGCTGAGACAGCTGGGGTTGTTTAGCCTGGAAAAGAGAAGGCTCCAGGGAGACCTTATAGCAGCCTTCCAGTACCTAAATGGGGCCTGCAAGAAAGCCAGAGAGGGACTTTTTTACAAGGGCATGCAGAGATAGGACAAGGGGTAATTGCTTTAAACTGAAAGAGGGTAGATTTGTATTAGACGTAAGGAAGAAATTCTTCACTATGAGGGTGGTGAGACACTGGCACAGGTTGCCTAGAGAGGCTGTGGATGCCCCATCCCTGGAAGTGTTCAAGGCCAGGTTGGATGGGGCTTTGAGCACCCTGGTCTAGTGGAAGGTGTCCCTGCCCATGGCAGGGGGGTTGGCCAAGATGGTCTTTAAGGTCCCTTCCAACTCAAACCATTCTGTGATTAATGTCTAATTAACAGACCATGTGACCTGGTCAAAAGGCCTTCTGTATAGACACACTTCTGATCTACCTGAATCTAGTACTGCAGTGTTAGTAAATTGTTTATAATTATAATCACATAGGAAAACCTCATCTTTCTCCTAACAAAATCTGCAACAGGTAAAAAACCAAAAACTTATGTTTAGAAAAAACAGAAGTGTATTTTAAGAATATACAGTAGCATATCACTTGCCTATATTGTTCATCAAAGCGGCTAATTACTCAGTAAACTGCTTACATAGCTGTCAGGTCTGGAAGTGTTAAAATCTGTTCCTCTATGTGGTCTCATTATAGCCTTAGTACAGCATACCAAATATTAACAACAGAGATAACTGAACTGCTTCATTTTCAGCTATCTCATTTTTACAGTTCAGGCAGAAAGATGATTTTTAAATGGTATGTACACTGCTAACAGAGAAAGGGAAAGATAAGAACAGCAGTGTATCAGAGTCCAAAGAATTCCCATTGTACTGACAATGAAAAACCCAACAAAGTGCCTCTATCAGAAAAAACAAGGCGCTCACTGTTCATAGCAAAAAGAGAAAGACCTCGTAAATAACAGCTGCACACAAATTTTCCAGATCTGAACTGAGGAAGTGTTGCCATTTTCAGTTTTTGGAAACAATTTCCAACCTTCCCCTTCAGCCATCACTGACACATGATTAATTTCAGAACTTTTATTGTTTCTTATCTGTTTGTTGGAACAAGTTCTGCTACTTCTGACAAAGTCATTATCAGTAGCAGTGAGAGGCACGTAAGGATTTTATGGTAAGGAGCAAGACACAGAGAATCTTGCATCAGAGCAAGTATTCATACTTCATACTTATGATCAGTGGTAGTACACCATTCTGGGTGCATCAACCCAGTTACTTTTCAGAGGTAAGGAAAAGAAAAGAGGAAGCCCCGAAGGCAAGAAACTCCAGCTTTCCCCATTTTTATGTCTCTGAAAAAAACTCATGGAGAAGATAGGTTCTTCTCACCAGTTCCTGAGCTCCTGGACATGTATGCTCACAGGATTATTCTCCACAACGTATTAGTTAGATCAGCAATAACTATACTTAATTTTTAAAAATTAATTGTATACACTCAAAGAAAACAAAAACATCCACGTAGCCCACTGTTCTGCAACCAGCTGTGGCCGTAAGTTGATATCCAGGTAACAATAAAAATAGCACAAGCATATGGAATCTCTTCTAAAATTCTTCGGCCTTGAAGTTTTCTTTTAGCTACAGAGATTTCCTGGGCCAGGTGTAGTTTGTCTGTTTAGCAAACCCCAGCAGACCTCTCTCTTTCAAGTAGCTCCATTCCCCCTTCAACACATGCATATTTCTTGCATTCGGTGTCTTCTGACTACAGATTTTGCAGGTCTGCTCTCTAATACCTGTCAAGCTTTTGCCTGCTGTGAACTTGGATCCCACAACCTAAACTGATGGCCCATTAGTTCTTATACTAACAAGATCATAAAATACAACCTCTCTGTTAGATTCATCATTTTGCAGATCTCTTTCATAATGCCCCCCATCATCCTTACTTGAGAAGTTCAGCCTCAATGCCCTGTGACCTGTACGTAAGCTGCTCCATACCTTCAGCCATTCCTGATCTTCACAGAGACTGGAAGCTGAAACATATCTTTTTGAGGCAAAGGACGAAGTATAGACAGCGTCTTCAACAAACCATACGTAACTAATCTCTTAAGCTTTAAGGCATTTGTACTATCTCTGACACATGCTCAAATCAATGCAAAAAAAATGCGCACATGAACTCCCAGTAGCACCTAAGTCTTTGAGCATTTTCTCAAAAAGAAGCAAGACTGAAAAAATGAAACCAGCTATATAGAGCACCCTGTTAAATATGCAAAACCAAATTTAAAATCAGAGAGCATTTCTGCCATTACTTTCTTTTACAATAATATCTGAAGTGACATGTGACATTTGTTTAAAGACTCTCAAGCTAAAACTATGACTTAAGATGACAGTGCCTTTAACTAAGCATTTACTTGAGTTTAATGAGTTGCACACAACTTGTTAGAGTTAGAGTTCCAGGTGCAAACTAGAATAAATTGCACTGAGCAATAGTTTCAGTATTACCAAACTCCAAACCTAGTGAGAAACAAGGAACAGAATGAGAAAAAGGGCACGAGAAGAAAAGCAATGGTATTAAGGACACCATTGCTACAAAACCCCAGAAAATAATGCTGTACAAGCCAAAGCAAGAATTGCTACTTTTAACTAGCCTGATTCACTAACTTCTTGGGTTTTGAATCAGAACTATGATTTATGTAGGGTACTATCTTTAAAAGATTATCCAGTATGGCTTCCTACTATTGATAGGTACAATACACTTGCCATCAATGAAGAAAGCTGATATTTAAGATGCCTGCCTACACTTACCCCTTTTACCACAGATGAAAAAATTGTGCCATTACACATATTAACCATACTACATCATGCTGATAATAGCCTACTGTCACACACTAGCTCCTTTAAACAACTACTCTACAAAAAAAAAAAAGCTAAACTATCATGAATGCCCTCTAACTACTGAGGTTTGACCACTTAACGTAGCGTGGAAAGGGTTTTCTTTACACTCCAGTAAGTGACTGTAAAAGCAAAATTCAAGGATACAATAAAGTAGGAGCATCGCCCTTCTTAAATTATAAAGCTTAACTATAAAGTTGGTAAACAAAAGAGGCTAAAAGCCCCAAAATGTTCTCTCCCGAAAGATAAGAAAGCAAGATGTTTTGAGTTCCCTTAACCACAGATTTCCACTTGCTGCAAGAAACGAAACGTACGCTTGTAACCAGAACCGCTTTAAACAAGTCTTATCACTTAATGTTTCTAAAACACATACGCCACCACGCCTCTCGGGTCCAAGCACCTCATCTTTGCCGCTAGGCGAGGCCTGGCAGCACTGCGGCACAGAGAGGTGCCCACGAGGCAGCGCCGGCCGGCCGGCCGCCCCACGGGCGCACTCCTCCCCACGGCGAATGTGCGGGAGCGCCCGCCGTGGGTCGCCAAGCACCTCCTAACTTCCCACACCTGCTCTCATTTTCCACCTGAGCAAACGTGAACAAGCGTCTGAACGTCGCTCTGGAAAGATACACGGAAGACGCTTACCTGGGACATCATCACCCATTTTTAACTTTTGGCCGTGCAAAGCCCAGCAGAGCCCGTGGGCGCAGGCACCCGGCGGCAGGTGGGGACCAGAAGCCGGCCGGGCCGCCGCTCCCGGGGCCTACCGCCACGGGAGAGGGGCGCGGGCCGCTCTAGCGCCCGCACCCCTTCCCCGGAGGCCGCACGCTCCCCCGGGCGAGCCACAGGCGGGCAGAGGGGCTGAGGAAACCCAGGGGCCGCCCAGCAGTCACCCGCCGGGCGCCTCACAGCGTGTCAGGGAAGAAGACCGTCGCTCGGCCCCCTCCCCGCACCGCTGCCGGCCCCGGTAACGGCCGGCCGGCCTCACCG